TCTGTCACTGATGGTCATACTCATGCCCACACCCCAGGCAACTGAAACTTATAGGGTGTTTTGGCTTCCTGCAAGGAAAGGTCAAGGTGTCCTGAATTGTGGTTGAGCCCCAAGGCCTTTATTCTGTTTTGTGAATTGTCAAAGGGCTATTGTGGGTTCTTCTGAGCATCAGCATTTTATGGCTCTCCTGACACTTAGTTTTCAGTAGTAGTTAACTGAAAGGATTTTGGCCCAGACAGGACACTAGCCAGTAAAGCCTCAGGCAGAACCAAGAAGCTCCATCTTCCCCACTCCTAGGAATTTACCTGTGGCTCTATCTTCCCCACCCCTAGGAATTTGCCTCTGGTGCGAAAGGAATACCAATGGGCTACCTGCACATCACTAATGCCCCTCAGGCACCACCCCAAACCTAAGCTACATGTATGCCCCCACTCCACATGTCCCGACGGAGAGATTCCCAGACACCTCCGGGAGAGATCGCCACTCCCAGGGAGATGCCAGACCCCAGAGGATCAGGGGGATCTCTCCCCACATTCTTAAAATAAAGGTCATTTATATTTCATACTTCTTATCTTTTCAGCCGCCCCACAATTCTATCATTAACTTGTCTCTTGTCAGCCTGCTCTGACCCCTCCTAGCTTCACTTTACTTTGAGTTTTTTTTTAATGAACTGTTATTCTGCCAGAGCACCTACTAGTCCTTCCTAATGAATATTCTGTTACTCCCAGCTAACTAACAGGGCTTTAATGGACCCAGGCTATTATTTAGGTAGTTGAGATCTAAGCTCTAGGGTCCTGTCCTTGTAGCTGGTTTGGAAAGGGCAGCTGTCTGGAAGGGCCCAGTGAGAGGCCTAAGCCCTGGGAATTATGGACAGAGTCTGGACACCTGGGCCTTGGAACCAGAGAATCAAGATTTTGCCTACAGGGGCTGGAGGTTTAGCTCAGTGGCATAAGCTCCTGCCTTGCAAGCAGGCAGTCATGAGTTCGATCCCTGGTACCGATAAAAAGGAAAAAGGCCAAAAAAAAAAGATTTTGCCTACAGTGCTACACAAGGGTAACGCTACAAGAGCCCAACCTCATGGAGCACATATATTGCCAGGAGTGACTGTTTAACCACAGCACATGCCTTTTCCTGTCACCCTGAAGTCCAGAGTGTGGGGATGGTCTCTGGAGACCCTGAAACCCCTAATTAGAAGGAGCACAGTAGGACGAAAGCTGAGGCAGGTAGCCAGGGACCACAACCAGGGGAGGGCTCCACTTCCAACAAACATACACCAGACCTCCTTCCCTCCCTCGCTCTGCAGATCCTGATTCCCTGGGACAATAAGCCCCAGGCCACACTGAAGCAGCTCTACTAAGGCCCCCTTCTTTTCCCTTTGAAGACCTGTTCCACCCTCTCCTTGCAAACCTTGCCTGAAGACTGGCCTCTGTCACCACACCCCTCCTGAGCCCCACTGAAGTCCTGGCTCAGGATGACACTGGCTCCGGAGTCTAGAGGCAGGACTCTGATAGGATTATTTCCAAAAGATGAGAAGTATAAAACAAAAAGCAGCCTTTATTCTGAGAACACAGAGAGAGATGACCGGCACCCCCTACCACTGGAGTCCAGCGATCTCTCTGTGGAACACGTGGAGTGAGGCACATAAGTAGCCTCAGTTTGGGGTGGAACCTAAGGGGAGCATTAGGGATGCACAGGTAGCCCATTGGTCCTAGGTTTGGTGACTTAGGTAAATTTCCAGGGGCGGGAAGATGGTGTCACAGGTAAATTCCTAGGGGTGGGGGAGATAGGCACTTCCTGGTTCTGGTTACAGTGTCTGGCCTGGGCCAAAAGCCTTTCATATCCTGTCTTATGATGATTATTATTATGAAAAGGGGCGAAGATTTCTCTCTTTACTTCCTGCTGGCAGAGGGCGCTGTAATGGAGCCTAGGGGAATCGACGGGATGAAGGTTGATGCCCAGGTAGACGCCGGTGCCAGGTGTTTTAGCCAGGACATCTTCACTGGTGAATGCACGTATGTTAGACTGGAAAAACAAAGAGACAAGATGTTATGAGGAGACACAGCACTGTTATATTTAAGGACCCAGGTGAGGTAGAAGGAAAGGTGCCTTTGATTTAGACATGTCATTATATCAGGACAACGTTGAGGTAGGAACATTTCCACAGTAAGGCAGAATTCTGAAAATTAAATGTGGGGTTAGGAGGAGTGAAGTTATGAGAGGTGATTACTCCCCCATCTGAAAGCATAAAAGTTAAGAGGTAGGTTGGTAAGGCTTGTCTCTGGTATGCATGACGTTGGGAGTCTGTAGGCAATACTGTTAAAGAGTCCTGCTGTAAAATAATAATAGAATGTAAGGAATAGATTAATAGAATGTAAGGAATTACGAACCAAAGTGGATAACAAAACATGACTTAGCCTGTTAACTGTAGCTGCGAGGCCTTTGGGAGACCGAGATGGGTGGGCGACAGAAGATGAGATGACCACTCAGAATGATCAGATTTAGGGCTGGGAGGGCACCTCTTAGCCTGAGTGATGTGAAACCAGGATGGCAGTCTAGCAACTTTGATTTAGGCATGGGTCACTGTAACCTAGTTGTATCAGCAGTTTACTTGGTTGTGGGAAAGGCTTTTATGTATCTTGAAAAAGTATAAACAAAGTGAGAAGACAAAATGTATCTATCAGTCTTGACCAGGGTTGTCTGACAAATTCGTGAATAAGAAAGGAAGGGGGTGGTCTTATATCACTGAGGAGAGGTTTACTAGTGATAACAGGTGAAAGCTGTTGAGGCCTCAGTGTGTCTAAGTTAGCCTGTATATTTAGGACTGGGACCTGTATGAAATAGGTCCTGTTTGTAAATGGCATAGGTTGACCATCAATACCCCGTTATAAAGATTGAGGACTTAATATAGCAGCCTGAAAACTCAGGAAGAACTCTGTATACATGGCCTCTATGTCCATAAATATAGAGAATTGTCTTACCTGAGACTTTAGTGCGACTTGGACTCTGAGACGGACACCTTAAAGAGGGCTGTTGTTGCCCTGAACCCCCTCAGTCTTTGGCAGCAATTTTTGTTGGCAATGAATCTGGCAGTGTGGACATTTCCTGTGAGGGCTAGAAGTTAGGATGGCTTACCCACTCTCTGGTGGCTAGGACAGTCCAGCAGCCCTGGAGTAAGGTCTCAAAGAACACCAGGATGGAGCATTTTCTTGCCCAATGTCTTCTGCTGCATTTGAGTGTGGTCCATGGTGGGGGCCAGGCAGCTCCACCTTGTGTAGGTTTACCTGCCTCAGAACTCCAAGTGTCAAAAATGTTAAAAATATGAAAAACCATATTAAGATCTCTCTAAGGTTTGAAGGTCAAGTTTTGGCTTTTGTTTGGGATTTGGACTACAGTAGAATTAAGTAAGTATGCAGGAGTTTAATATTGGCATTTTAGATCAGAGAGCAGGCTTTATCTGGATGGCATATCACTTTTAGGGTGTTGTGTGGAATTATATATTTAATAAAAAAGGCTTTAGTCTGCCCTCCCCCTTTTGGAATATAATCTCATTTTAATGGAAACATTTTGCAGTAAAGGTTTACCAATCTTATGAATAAATCTATGAAAACTGATCTAATACTGTCAAATTTTGAACACATTTGCTTTTTTTAAACCTGTTATTTGCAGTAGTATGAACCAAGACAAATAAAATTTTGTTTTTAGACACTATTAAAACTTTTAACAAAACCCTTGTCTTGGAACAGAGCTAGTGGTTTCCAGCAAAAAGGAATTTATAACCTTAGTTGTTAAACAGGAGATTAGTGAAGGCTTTGATTGCTAAACAAGGCTGGTAAAATTATCAGGTGGCCAATAACCTTGATTAAATGGCTTGAGAATTGTAATAAAAAATAGCATCTTTTGAGCGAAGCCAAACTATAAAAAAAGCATGCCTGAGCGGAGCCACTGAGCTGCTGTTTTGCGGCACAGCAGGGCGGGGGTGTGAGCATCGGGATGTAGCGCGCAGGGGCAGGCTGCGACTGCCCCCAGAAACGCATAAGGTGGCGGCGGCAATGGCGCACGGGGGAGGGAAGGGCTGGGACGGCGCATGGGGGAGGGGCTAGGAGGCGGCCCAATGAAGTGCGCGAAGCTGGAACTGCTCTCGGGGCATGAGGGTTAGAAAGCCGATTTAGGAACACAACTGGCTTTTCATTAGCCTCCTGGACCTGTTCTAAAAGCTTGTTATAGTTAGTATGTTTTTGAGCAATCTTATTAAGGCCCACAATCAGACATTCAATCATCTTATGTAATTTTTTTGAACCTTGTCCATTCTGATAGTTCCAGTCAGGATCTTGGTGTAGCACAGCTACAGGCCCAGGGTCATTTTCAGTGGTGTTTGCCCTATGCCTGCGATCAGCTTCTTCTCGAGCTGCCTGCCACAGCTGATTTCGCTCTTGTGAGCTAAGGGTGGTGTTTAAAATCACATAAACATCCTTAAAATGTAAATCATAACAATTAGTAATACAAATTGCCTGATATAATTCTGTGGGTCAACAGAGAAGCTACCTAATTTATGGGCAGTCTGGGATAGATCAGAAAGGAAAAAAGGCACATGTATATTAACAAGTCCCTCAGAGCCAGCTTGCTCCCGAAGTGGCAGCAGAGCCTGAGGAGAAGATTGTAGAGTCAAGGGCCATTGGGCAGCTATCCGTCTGGTAGACGTGTGCGAGCAGTTATCTGTAGAGCAGCTACAGAGTGGCTGGTGGTTACCCTGGGACAAGGAAACACAGGCAGATGGCATCTCACTATGTGCCTTGCAGCGAGATAATTGCTGTCAGCAGCACAATGAACCATCATGTGGACCACAACAGGGCGGCTGTTGCTGTTTACAAGAGGAGCCACAAGAGGGCGCCCATTGATCGTGAGTTCTGTCCCAAGATGGCAGTGCCCTGTCACGTGGCAGAGGGTTGCAACTTGGCAACTGTTCCTGGCGCAAGCCGGAACAATCACACAGCTTGCCAGAAAGGCACAACGACCAAGATTAGGTATGGTGGGTGGGCAGTGAGAATGCTGTAGAGGTCAGAGAATTATCAGGAGAAAGAGTCGGAGACTTTGAGGAAGCACTAAACAGAGTGATTAGAGTTGCTGGGAGAGTTATGGGTCGTGGAAGGCGGAGAGGGAGACGATCGCACAGTAGGAGGTAACTGTGACGCACTGGGACCAGGACTGCTGAGAGAATCAGGCATGGGGGAGGGGAGAGCAGTCCAGTGGGAGGTAATAGCAGGGAATGAGTTTGGGGGTAGGCAGGCAGCGGCCGGGAAAAGACCGGGGGAATGTCATGAAGCGAATCCTGAGGGCAGGATGGAAAAGTTTGCAGCGTGGTAGAGTTAGCTAAAAGTATCTCAGCGGGAGCACAAGACTTAATGAGAGACAGGCGTGTTCTCAGAATAAGAAAGGCCTGAATATAAGGAAGTTTTAATAACTTGTCGCTGGCCTGACAGAAATCATACAAGTTTCTGAGAATGCAGGGGTCAAATGTTCCTTCCTTGGGCCAATGATTGCCGCTAAGTGGGTAGGTTGGCCAGACCTCCCAGCAGTAAAAAGTTAATTGTTTAGTTTTTATGGTACTTTTAATTGTTAAGAGTATGTAAATTGGAAATTAGGCATTGTAAAGGTGTCTTTTGGGAGTTAGAAAATAGGTTTCCCATGACTGATTCAGGCAAGAAATAAGCTGTGGTCCAGAGAACAAGCCATCACTTGTTTGTGGCACCACATGGCGGCTAAGGTTCCAAAAACTCATATATTCCAGTCGTCACTGAGAGATTTATGAATGGAGCCCATGTGGGGTCAGTAACAGTTCTGCCCATGAAAGTGCAAGGCTTTAAGGGAAGTGAGGGTCTTTTAGTGTGGGCAGTCCAAAAATCTCTGCTTTGGGCTATCCGAACCCAAAGAACGTGAGAGATTTTAGAGTGTGGACCCAGGTTTGCCCAGAAAAACCCTGCCCTGGGCTGTCCTAAGGACGTGAAAATGCATGGACCCACGTGAACAGGGAGAACAGTCAACTGGGGCTGCTCAGTGCCAAGAGTTCCCTGGAGAGTGCTCACCTGAAATCAATCTGGTCAATGGTGAGTGCAAATAGCTGGCGACAAGGACGTCTCGGGAGAGGAAAAAGCATGGAATTAATCCAGGATGTTACCTGGTTCATGAATCGGCTGGAGACTCAACTGGGTGTGTCCCAGGAGTCAATCGCCTGCCGATCTGAGTCAAGGCACCAAATGATAGGATTATTTCCAAAAGATGAAAAGTATTTCCAAAAGATGAGAAGTATAAAACAAAAAGCGGCCTTTATTCTGAGAACACAGAGCGAGATGACCGGCACCCCCCAATGCTGGAGTCCAGCGATCTCTCCGTGGAACGTGTGGAGTGAGGCACATAAGTAATCTCGGTTTGGGGTGGAACCTAAGGGGAGCATTAGGGATGCACAGGTAGCCCATTGGTCCTAGGTTTGGCGACATAGGTAAATTTCCAGGGGCGGGAAGATGGCGTCACAGGTAAATTCCTAGGGGTGGGGGAGATAGGAGCTTCCTGGTTCTGGTTACAGTGTCTGGCCTGGGCCAAAAGCCTTTCAGACCCTATCAGGTGTGATATCTGTATCCTTATCTGTCAGGTGGAGATAATAAAATGGGTCTCCTGGGATGATTAGGCAGAGTATAAATGAATCAATCAATGTCACATGCCTTGTTTTTGTTAACTTCTTGGGGCCATATTCCTGAGCAGACAACCTTAAGCCTCCTTTCCTCACATCCTGCTACTGGGGTTGAATCCAGGGCCTTCTCACTGAGCTACATACCCAGCCCTTTTCATTTTTTATTTTGAGACAGGGTCTTCCTAAGTCACACAGCCTGGGCTCAAACTTGAAAGTCCTCCTATCTCAGTCTCCTAGAGTGCTGGGATTATGAGCTGTGCCACCACACTTATTTTTTTCTCATGCTAGAGGTTTGTATAGCCAATGTGTCTGCCCAGCCCTACCTGCTAGGTGGGGCTAGGCCTGCCAGTAGCCCTCAGGCTCAGAGGCCAGCAGCCCTCAGGCTCACAACCACGTCCACTATAATAGTGATGTACCTTCAGGGCTTTAATCATAATAAACAGTCTGCTGCAACATGCACACCACAGGTTCACAACTATTGCACTAGGATGACCAGTGCCATTTATAGTAGGGCAGGAGTCCTGTGCTTGTCCCCTGTTCCTACTCTGCACCTGGGAGATCAGATACTGCACTCTGCATGCTTGTCTGATAGTGGCAAATTGTGATCAGACTGGTGTTGGCCCATTTAGACCCCTCCCTAGGCTATTCATGTGGAACCCTCACAGTCCAAAGAAAAAGCAGAAGTTTCTTGTGAAGCTGCTGTGTTTGGGCTTCCACAGCAAGCTGGCTGTCCCTGAACTGGGACAGGAGTCAGACCGGTGTAGAGTAGGGGCTTTGAATAGGACTGTGCTCCTGCTTGCTGGTCACCTCCCACTGAGGCAGCACCCTGTGCCTCCAGTCAGCTCTTGGTTCCCTAGCCATGGAGCTGGGGGCATTCTATAATGTGCAGAGAGCCCTGAACCTTCTCCGCTACACAGGGCTCCTTATGTTCCCAGCACTGAGCCTCTGGTTTTTCTTTCCTTGCTTCCTTCCTTAAAATCCTCTTTCGGGTTTTACTTTCGTGTCACTCAGAGGCCTCTCAGTTGCAGTTTGAGCCAGCCAGCTGACCACTGGGAGGGACTGTGGCTACTGCGAGTTGGAAGTGTGCTCATGTGGCCACCATCTGTTTCTGCAGGTGTCATGTGAGTCTTGGCAGAGCTGCTCCTGAGTGGAAATGCTCTCAGTGGTCGAAAATGGACTGGACCCCCGGGCCACCATCCCGGTAAGTAGGCAGGGCAGATGGGTTGGGGCCGCAGAGGGCACAGGCCTCCCACTGCCCAGAAAGAGTCACCAGGGGAAAAAGAGGGAAAGCAAGCTGGAGGAGATCCTGCCCTCTCCAGATGGACTTATCTGTTCCAAAATTGCGGTTTATTTAATAAAACATGGTGAGGGTTTAAAGTGTGCTACCTGGAGACCAAGGATTTCCATTCAGACCTTCAGCCCTCTGTTCTTAGGCCATGTTTGGTCAAAGCATTGATTTGGTCAGAACAGATATTGCTAGGTGCTGGATTGTTAACTCAGTAATGGGGTAAGTTGATAGCTTATGACTGACTGTCTTTGAACATTAACCATTTTCCAGATTTTCAGACACAGCTGTTGGTGACTGTTTCACCTCCGTCTCCTCTGCCCTGTAATGCCCCTGGGATGCCTGGGGCATTCTGGACTGGCTCTGTCAGTTCCGTAAAGAGGTAGAAGGTCAGGCAGGTTTCGGGCTGTCCCTCAGCAGAGTCCTGAGGTGGCCCCTTAAGAAGCCAGGATTTCTCTTTCCTCCATCTATGGCTCTGTTAATTCAGAGCTTCCTCAGAGGTGTGCCTCCACCTCTGGTCACCAGAGTGCGCAGCTCCACCTGTTGCCCAACTGGCTTTTGTACAATAACCGTTGCCCTTCCTGTGGTCCTCCCCACCCATCCCGAGCTCTGCCTTAGAAGATCCCATTAGTGTGAACTGTCCAGGAAAGGTAAATCCAGAGACAAAAGTACATGTCTGGCTACTGCCACTCCCAGTTTCTCTCTCTTCCAGCTTCTGCCAACACTAAATACCATGTTTCCCTTAAGGGGAGATGAAAAAGACCTAAAATGAGTGATGAGCATTACAGTTTTCTGATTTACTAAAAATCACTGAACCCAGTGCTTTATTTAAATGTGTGTCAGTGCTTTAAATGAGTGCATTTGTGGTGTGTGAATCATATCGCATTGATTTTTTAAGCTAATGTTTAAAAATTTAGCTTTGCAAGACCAGATATGACAGCATATGTCACAGTCTCAGTACTTGGGAGGCAGAAGCAAGACTATGAGTTGGAACCCAGCCTAGGCTTTACAGAAAGAAAAAAGAAATTAACTTCCTTGTTTGGGATAAGTCAGGATAAAAGAATGAACTATATTCATAGCACTGTCACTAAGTTCAATCCGTTTTGTGCAGTCCTTTTTTTTTTAAAGAGAAAAAAAAGAAAGGAAATAAAATTAAAAAACAAAGCAGTAAAAGGGTACAAATAATACAGAATTTCAAGAAAAAAAATACAGTAAGATATCACTAGTTAATAGGTTACATATTGTCATCTTTGAAACAGTTGTCCAAATTATAAAATTAAAGCATATAAAGTGAACATTCATACAATGAGATTGCAGACAGTGCCAATCAATGATCCAACAAAAGTTCAGTAATATGGATTTTCATCCTACACACTCAAACGTACATGCAGTTATATCCCTTAGACCACCTCCCTTTCCTCTCTTTTTAATAACAATTACACTTTTGGGGTTTTTTACTCCCACAATTCTTATTATTTTTTTGGAGAGAATAAAACCTAACATGACTAAACAAAACAGAGTCGGTTAGAACAGAAAGATGGGCATAGTACATGATGCAAAAATAGAACATCAGGTAATCAAAAATGGTTACCATTGTGCCTCTTGCTATTTTTAAAAAAGTTGCCTATATCATCAGGTATAATAGAATTGATCAAAACAGTACAGAACAAGACCAATAAAACCTACACTGGAGACCTTACAGGATTTCAAAAGAAGGTAATAGTCAAACCATAATGGGCATCATAGTGAATCTTACTGTCTTCAAAGTGGTTGCCTCTACCCTCAAACTTGGTACTATCAAACAAAATAGAATATAGTAAAATCTGACAGAACAAGATGGGGAGAGCAATACTGGGGTTCATATCAGGTTACTAGGAAAGCAAAAAAGTTACATAATATATCCTGCTATTTTTTAATTTGGTTTTCCCTTAATTGAAAAAAAAATGTAAGAAAAAATAGGTTAATTTTAAAAAGGGTGGGATTGAGGTAAAAGAGGACATTGTATTAGAACAACACAGGTCAGAACCGAACAATTTAAGCATCATTGTGTTTCACCCCCAGATAATCTAACATAATAGTAGTCACCATAGTGCCTCCTTCCTTGAATCATTTGAGTATAACATCATATACTATAGCATCAAGCATATCAAGACAGTCTGAAGCTATTCAAAAGAATGAAGAAATTACAGGGTATTTAGAACCAGTTAACAGAAAACAAACAATGGTTTCTATATTATCTCTTTGCCTATAAAAAATTTTGTTTATACTATTGCATATAGTAAGATACCACATGTTAAAACCAGTGGAAACAGGTGTACAACAGCTTGATGGGACTTCAAAACAATATATTAAATCAGCACTTGCGTTTATGATGTGTTGTTTTCTTCAGAATAGCTATTCGTACTATCACCAATACTAAAATCGAACAACCCAGGTTAAAACCATTGCAATTAATGAGTGATAACATTATATGGATTCAAACCAATATGATTGGGAGTCATGATTATCACATATTTTTATGTATTCTTATCATTTCTTACACTAGGGAAACTATTCAGTATTTATACATGTGAGTTTGATTTATTTCACTTATGAGTATGGTCTCAAGCTGCGTCCATTTATTTATAAATATCTCAATGTGATCATTCTTTATAGCTGAGTATCCATTGTATAAAAATACCACAACTTTTTTATCCATTCCTTAGTTGATGGACACTTAGGTGGTTTCCAAGATCTGGCTATTACAAATTGTGCTGCTATAAACATAGGTGCACATATATCACTGTGGTATGATGCTTTCAGTTCTTCTGGGAATATGCCTAGAAGTGGAATAGCTGGGTCAAATGGGGCTTCCAGTCCCAGCTTTCTGAGAAATCTCCAGACTGACCTCCACAATGGTTGTACCAGTCTACACTCCCACCAACAGTGTAGGAGAGTTCCTTTTTCCCCACAGCCTCTCCAGCATTTGTTGTTGGTGGTTTTCTTGATCTTGGCCATTCTTTCAGGAGTGAGATGAAAGCTCAGTGTGGTTTTAACTTGCATTTCTCTAATAACCAGTGATGGTGAACATTTTTTCATGTATTTATTTGCCGTTTGTATTTCTTCATCTGAAAATTGTTTATTCATCTCAGATGCCCGTTTTTGGATTGGGTCTTTGAATTTTGAGGGTCTGATGTTTTTTAATTCTTTATATGTTTTAGACAGAAGTCCTTTGTCTGAGGGAGAGTTCACTAAGATTATTTCCCAGTTTGTGGGTTTTCTTTTCACTATGCTGGAGATTTCTTTTGACGTACAGAAACTTTTTAATAAGAGGCGATCCCAGTTATTGACTCTGGGAAGTATTTCCCATGCGGTTTGAGTCCTGTTCATGAATTCTTTACCTACTCCTATGTCTTCAAGGTTTTTACCCAATTTGTCTTCCAATAGATTTAGTGTTTCTGTTTTAATATTAAGATCTTTGATCCATTTAGATTTTATTTTAGTACATGGTGATAGGCATGGGTCTAGCTTTAGTTTTCGGCATATGGAGAGCCAGTTTTTCCAACACCATTTATTAAAGAGACTGTCGTTCTTCCAGTGAACATATTTGGCCCCTTTATCAAAGATAAGGTGGTTGGGTGTGTTTGTAATTGTGGTTGTATCTTCTAATCTATTCCACTGATCTTTGGTTCTGTTTCGGTTCCAGTACCATGTTGATTTTACTACAGGTGCCTTGTAGTCTAACTTCAAGTCAGGGATTGTGATACCTCCTGCCTTGCCTTTGCTGCTTAGAACTGTCCTTGCTAGTCTAGGTCTCTTCTCGCTCCAGATGAATTTTAGGAATGATTTCTCGAGTTCTGTGAGGTATGTTGATGGTATTTTTATCAGGATTGCATTGAATCTGTATAAAAGTTTTGGGAGAATGGCCATTTTCACAATATTTATTCTTCCTATCCATGAGCAAGGGATCTCTTTCCATTTTCTGAGATGATCTTCAATTTCATTTTTCAGCACATTATAATTTTCCCTGAATAGGTCTTTCACTTCTTTCGTGAGAGTAATTCCTAAATATTTCATTTTTTTGGTTGCTAGTGTGAAGGGTGTTGCCTCTCTTATTTCTCTCTCTCTGTGACTTTGTTATTGGTCTATAGGAATGCTATTGATTTTTGAGTATTGATTTTGTATCCAGCTACATTAGTGAATTTATTTATTATATCTAGGAGTCTTTCAGTGGAATTTTGGGGATTTTCTATATAGAGTATCATGTCATCTGCAAATAATGATAATTTAACTTCTTCTTTTCCTATCTTTATGCCTTTTATTTCTCTCTCTTGTCTAATTGCTCTGGCTAGTATTTCCAGTACTATATTAAATAGGAGTGGTGATAAAGGACATCCTTGTCTTGTGCCTGATTTTAAAGTAAAAGCCTTCAATTTTTGGCCATTTAGTATGATATTGGCTGTTGGTTTGTCATACATGGCCTTAATTATATTGAGGTAAAGACCATCTATTCCAATTTTCTGTAAGGTTCTTATCATGAATGAATATTGGACCTTATCAAAGGCTTTTTCTGCATCTATAGAAATGATCATATGATTCTTACTTTTGGCTTTGTTGATATGGTGGATTATGTTTATTGATTTACATATGTTGAACCATCCCTGCATGCCTGGGATGAATCCCACTTGGTCAGGGTGTATGATCTTCTTGATGATTTGCTGCATCCTATTTGCCAATATTTTATTGAGGATTTTTGCATCTGTGTTCATTAGGGAGATTGGTCTTTAGTTCTCTTTTTCAGTTGGGTCCTTCTCTGGTTTTGGTACTAGAGTAATATTTGCTTCTAGGAATGATTTAGGAAGGATTGCTTCCCTTTCAATTTCATTGAAGAGTTTGAGGAGTATTGGCATTAGGTCATCTTTGTATTTCTTGTAGAATTCTGCAGTGAATCCGTCTGGGCCAGGGCTCTTCTTTGTAGGTAAAGATTTAATTACATTTTCAATTTCATTAATAGAAATTGGGTTATTCAGTAGTTTTACATCTTCATGACCTAGCTTTGGTACTTCGTATGCTTCTAGGAATCTGTCTATTTCCTCTGTGTTATCAAACCTTTGAGAGTAGAGGTTTTCAAAATAGGTGTTGATGATCTTCTGTATTTCTATAGGGTCTGTAGTAATTTTGCCTCTTTCACTCCTTATTGCATGAATTTGAGCTTTTTCTTCCCTTTTTTAAATAAGGTTGGCTAGGGGCTTGTCGATTTTATTTATTCTTTCAAAGAACCAGCTCTTTGATTTGTTGATGTTTTGAATTGTCTTTTTGGTCTCTATTGCATTGATTTCTGCTTTGATTTTTATAATTTCTTCTCTTCATTTGACTTTGGGCTTGACTTGCTCTTTTCTAGATGTTTGAGGTGTAACATCAGGTTATTTATTTGTATTCACTCTGTTTTCGTAATGTGGGAACTCAGTGCAATAAATTTTCCTCTGAGGACAGCTTTCATTGCATCCCACAGATTCCGGTAAGTTGTATTTCTGTTTTCATTTGTTTGTAGGTACTGTTTAATTTCTTATTTAATTTCCTCTGTGACCCACTGATTCTTTAAGAGTGTGTTATTCAGTTTCCATGTGTTTGTGGGATTTTTGCAGTATCTTTTATCCTTAATTTCTAATTTCACAGTGCTATGGTCGGATAGCATGCAAGGGATAATTTCGACCCTTTTGCATTCATTTATATATGTTCTGTGAATTAATATATGGTCTATTTTAGAGAATGACCCATGTCCTGCTGAGAAGAATGTGTATTCTGTTGTTGTTGGGTGATATACTCTGTATATGTCTATTAAGTACATTTGTTCACAGATGCGATTCAGTTCTTTTATTTCTTTGTTGATTTTCTGTCTGGTTGATCTGCCCATTGGTGTCAATTGTGTGTTAAGATCTCTTGTTAGAATTGTGTTACTGCTAATTTGGTTTTTCATTTCTGTTAGTACTTGTTTTATATAACAGGGTGCTCAGGTGTTTGGTGCATATATATTTAAGATAATTATCTCTTCCTCTTGAAGTTTTCCCCTAACCAGTATGTAGTGTCCTTCTTTATCCCTTATGATCATTATTGGTTTGAAATTCAGGTTATCTGCAAACAGAATAGCTACCCCCGCTTTTTTGGGGGGTTCCTATCGCATGAAGTATTGTTTTCCATCCTTTAACATTTAGTCTTTGAGTATCCTTTTTGGTTAGATGGGTTTCTTGTAGACACCATATGGTTGGATTATGTTTCTTGATCCATTCTACCAGTCTGTTTCTTTTAATTGGTGCATTGCGACCATTTACATTAATGGTTATAACTGTTATATATTGGTTTGTTGTTGCCATGTTATCTTTTTGCTGTTGCATCTTTATGGTTCTGCTCTATTTAATTGTCTGCTTTGTTTAGTGGTTTTTCCCTAAATGTATCTAGGCTGTCTTTCAGTATTCTTTGCAGCGCTGGCTTGGTGATCACGAAGTTTTTCAGCTGTTCTTTGTCATGGAAGTATCTTATTTCTCCATCAATTTTGAAGGACAGTTTTGCAGGGTACATCAGCCTAGGTTGGAAATCATTTTGCTTTAGGATCTGGAATACTTCACTCCATTCTCTTCTTGAGTTTATTGTTTGTGCTGAGAAGTCTGCTGTTATTCTGATAGGTTTTCCTTTATAGGTGATCTGTCTTTTCTCTCTGACAGCTTTTAATATTCTATTTTTTCATTCGATTTCTGGGATATTCATTATTATATGTCTGGGTGTAGATTTATTTTGGTTATGGCTATTTGGAGTTCTATATGCTTCACTGATCTTGATATCAGTTTCTAATCTCATGTTTGGGAAGTTTTCAGCTATTACTTCTCTAAATATACTCTTGACATCCTTTATGTTGTCCCCTTCTTTTTCATTTATCCCTATCAACCTTATATTGTTCCGCTTTGCATCATGTTGCAGGTGTTGAATTGTTATTTCCTGATTTCTTGTTATTTTTAAAAGATCTTTCCTTTCCTGTTCGCTAGCTGCAATCTTGTCTTCGAGGTCTGAGATTCTATCTTCACATTCATTGAGGCGGTTTTTACAACTTTCAATGGAGTTTTTTATTTCCTGTGTATCTCTTTGCATCTCTGCTTTATGTATTCTGTTTGTTTCTTATATTGTTCATCCAGGGATTCTATCTTTTTTAGGTCCTCCAATTTTTAACTGTGTCTTCTTTAGATATATTCATCATCTCCTTCATTTATCATTTCTGCTTTTACCTGAGAGATTATTTCTAATTTGAATTCCTTTAAGGTTTCCCAGAGTTGCTTCTTTATTTCAGTTACTATTATTTCAGGTATTTCAGGTATGTGGAATGTGTTTTCTTCTATGCATGTGGTTCCTAGGCTTTCTTGGGTTGGGCTGCATGTTTGATGTTGCATTTTGGTCTTTCGTTTTGTTATTTTCCTATATTTTAGAGCTTCAAGTGTTGTTCCAAGTAAGGGAGAGAGTTCCCCCAGACTGTGTCTAGGCCTGACTGGCTGGGCCCGCAGGGAACCGCAGCCTGGCCCCCAGGTGAGGAAGAGTGTTCCCCAAGACTGGGACTGGATTCCTGGGGCAGGATTCTGTGCCTAGGCCCCACTTGCTGGTCCTGGCAGGAAACCGTGCACTGGTCCCCAGGCGACAAAGAGAGTTCCCCCAGACTAGGGCGGGATTCCTTGCCTAAGCCCCACTTGCTGGTCCCAGCAAGAAACCGCGCACTGGTCCCCAGGCGACAAAGAGAGTTCCCTCAGACTGGGGCGGAATTCTGTGCCTACCCGACTCATTGGCCCCGGCAGAAAACCACAGGCTGGTCCCCAGGCAACAAAGAGAGTTCCCCCAGACTGGGGCGGGATTCCTGGGGCAGGATTCCATGCCTAGGCCCCACTCGCTGGTCCTGCCAGGGAACTGCGCCCTGGTCCCCAGGCAACAAAGGGATTTCCCCCAGACTGGGGCAGGATTCCGTGCCTAGGCCCCCTTGCTGGTCCAGGCAAAAACCCAAATTCTAGTTGTAAAGACAACATTTTCTAAAGACCCTTCCACCTCCAAACTAAGGCTTGGTTTAGACCTGAATATTTTTCTTTCATCAATTTCTTTTCTAAGTTTCTTATAAGATTAAATTCTCTGAGAGATCATTGACCTTCTGAGAAGAACAAGGGAGACACTGTCTATGCTGTCCTTTCTAATCCTTTTCCAAACACAATTTTACTCTTTAGTCCCAAAGGACTTAAATATATTCTGTAATGTATTCATTTAACCCGAGTTACAGTTGGACTGCTTCCATGTGCCTAATATGGAAGTTGTTTGAGATACATGGATAAATTTAAAAAGCTATTCTGAGTTGTACACTATGGTGTAAGCCTGTAATCCCAGCTACTTGAGTGACCGAGACAAAAGGATCACAAATTCCAGGCCAACTTTTACAAGTTAGCCAGACCTTGTCTCAAAAATAAGAATGGACTAGCACTCCTGGGTTCAGTCCTCCATTGGGGTGGGTAGTTTGATCTGCCTTCAGAAGCAATGCCACAAGTGCTATAATTTAGGGAATGTTATTTCCTTTTTAACAGATTCAGGAATTGAAGCTCAGAAAACTTAAGTGAAATTTCCAAGGTGTCTGAGCTGAGATACAACCTACGCCATTGGCTCCCAGAATGAGTGGATAGATGAATGGATGAATGGATCAGTCAGTCTCTCATGCTTTCTCTCATGCTTAGTAGTGAAAATTGGAACCAGGGTGTTTTCCTGAGCTATATCTCCACCCATTTTTTAATTTTTTATTTTGAGATAGTTTGCCCAGGCTAGGCTCAGACTTAGATTTTCCTGCCCGAGCCTCCCAGAATTATAGGCATATACCACCATGTCTAATCCCTAGAAGAATCTCTCTTGGTAACCATGCTCTTTTGTCTTGATTTTTTTCCACAGTGCTGAGGATCAAGCAGGGCTTGATGTTCTAGCTCGTGTTCTAACACTGAGCTACCCGTGCCTCAGCCCTTACGTGCAATAATTATTTTTTTCAAAGCAGCACTTTTTACCTCTTAGCTTATTGAGTCTGTGCAGATTATTGGTCACATAAAGCCTCACTCCATAAAGCTCCCTAGCCATTTCTTTGATGGAGCCATCATTGAAACAGTTATATGGCTGTAAGTTTACCAAAGTTCTCTTTGGAAAACAAAAGTGTAGGATATGCAGAGTGGCAGTACCATTAGTTGTCTCTGATTACTGTGTGTGACTTTGCTTTTCTTCTCTACACAATGTCTTTGGTATAATTAACACATGCTAATTTTGCGTGTGTTATCTCTGTAAGGGATTTGCATGTGTGTGGTCATGCAAGTATTTGGTGGTAGACAGGGCTACTCTCCAGAGTTGTCCATGAGGTTCTCTTCTAAAGGCCCCCTTCTGCTTGGCACCACCTAGGTCATCAAGAAGAAGCTGGTGGAATCTGTGAAGGCACTGCAGAAGCAGTATGTGTCCCTGGACACAGCAGTGACAAGTGAAGATGGAGATGCCAACATCATGTGCAGTGCCCTAGAAGCTGTATTTATCCATGGCCTGCATGCCAAGCACATCCGTACAGAGTCTGGAGGAAAATGGAAGAAAAGTACACACCAGAAACCTCTGCCTCAGCCTGTCTTCTGGTCCCTCCTGAAAGCTGTCACCCACAAGTGAGATCAGCAGAGAGGTTTTGTTGGGGGATGACCTTGCAAGTGTGGGGCCACTGGCTGTTTCTCCCTAGCTGTGTGGACAACAACAGAAGCTGGCTCTAGTACAGAGATGGGTAAGGTGGAGCTGGAGCGTCTTGTAAAAAGGACTGTCTCCAGAACACACTTCCCAGACAGCCAGTTGACCCAGGACCCTTAGCTCTCAGGCAGCTCCACAGCCCAGGGTTAGTGAGCTTTGGACCAGTTTAGCAGAGTGAGGTAGATTCTGTGTGGCCTGCAAGGCCTGAAATATTTGCTCTCTAGCCCTGGACAGAAAGTTTTTACTGACCCTGCCTTTGGCTGTTTGAACATTTGTATTCTCAGTATTATAGTGAGGCAATGTACTTTGTTTTTCAACCAGAGTGGAGTTCAGGTAGACCCTCTTGAATGTCCACTGAGACCCTTGTCTTTGACCTTGCCCCCAGCTACCTAGGCTTTTAAAAAGTAGCTGGCATCATGCCCTAAGGGCTGTTAAATGGCACCTTCAACCCAAAGGTGCCTTGTCAGTCTCTGACCTCTCCTTGCATACCCATGGTCATAACCATAACCCATCACAGATCCTTGCTTTTGTCCTAGACAGCAGTGGCTTTTTAATTGTCCCCTTACCTCAGTGTCTGCCTGAGTCAGCCTCTCACATTCACTGAGCTTCAGCAGCTCCCAGGGAGAATGGGCTACACTACCCCCAGACCCATGCACAGGCCTCATAGGTACAGACTGGTACTCAGTGTCAGCCAGAGAGATTCCAGGTCTAGGTCTGGAGCTCATACGGAGCATCTTCCCTCCTGTGTGCTATTGGCTGTGGTCAGATCACCAAGTCAGCAAATTGGGGCCCCTAAGTCTGAATCCTGATAAATTTCCTAGGGGCTTCTGCTGCACCACCAGACGGGAGGGATCTTTACCTACTGGCTCATTCAATTTGATATTTAAGAGCCTCTACGTTTGGCTTTGCAACTGAAATAGCCCTTTCCCCCTGTTTGTGATTAGAGCACTCCCCACTGTTATTACAGACTTGTTGTTTTCCTACCCTTAATGCTTTTTTTTTCTATTAGTCTATTTTGCCTGGGAATCATACCATACCACATCCTCATATGCAAGATAGAACCTGGGGCTTTCACAGTGAACTGTATCTTCAGTCTTCTTCTTCTTTTTTTTTTTTTTTTTTTTTTTTGAGACACAGGGTATTGCTATATAGTCTAAGCTGGCATTGGACTCACAGTGTAGTCCAGGTTGCTCTTGAACTTGCAGCAATCCTCCTGTCTCAGCCTCCTGAGTGCTGGGATTACAGGAGCATGCCAGCATGTCCGGCTACTCGGTCCATTTGTTTTTTTTGTTCCCCCAACCTTGCTATTCTCTAATTTTTATTTTGAGACAAGGTCTTGCTGAGTCACTCAGTTTCAACTGTCAATTTAATTGTCGGTTTCAAAGGTGACATTCCTCCTGCCTCAGCCTCCCACAGTGTTAAGGTTACAAGTGTACACCACCACACCTGGCTCATTTTTGGTTCTTAAAAACCCTTAGGGCACAGTTCAAATGCTATGCTTTCTGTGGCATTTTCCATATGAAGTGATGACCCAATCTCTTACACCATCTCCACCAAGAAAAAAGTTGACTTCATGGGCCCTTGAATAGCAGTAGTATGGGCTTGGGAGTGTGGCTCAGTGGTGGAACACTTACTTAACATGCTGAAGGCCATAGCTTCCTCTCCAGAAACACACACAGAAGAAAGGCCCCTACCTGGAATCAGCATAGGGATCATGTTTCTATTCGTAGCTTCCCAGCTCTAAAATCTTGGATTCGACACACATATCTTGATCAGCAGATGATGGCAGTGATAGGAGGGGGTTGTAATGAACACGACAATATTCCTTCATGACACTAACCTCAAGACATTGGAGGTTATAGTTTAATATCTCTATACTTCCCTTGAAATACCATTATCAAGGAATTTTTCACGCCTGCACATATCTACCATTGTTACCAGTGATTCTTGCTAACTAGTTTCTCAGTGATCTAAGGCAGTTTCTCAAGCAAGTCTGCTCTGCCCTCCCAGACACATCATCTCGGACCTAGAGCACCTGGCCTTTGTCAACACGGACGTGGGCCGCTGCCGGGCCTGGCTGCGGCTTGCCCTCAATGATGGCTTGATGGAGTGCTACCTGAAGCTGCTCCTCCAGGAGCAGATGAGACTGTGCGAGTACTACCAGCCCACAGCCCTACTGCGTGATGCCGAGGAGGGCGAGTTCCTCCTGAGCTTCCTGCAGGGTCTCACATCCTTGTCCTTCGAGCTCTCCTACAAGTCTGCTATCCTAAATGAGTGGACACTCACCCCGCTAGCCCTCTCCGGGCTTTGCCCACTCTCAGAGCTTGAGCCTCTCCCTACCTCTAGTATAGAATTCCAGCGTAAGGAGTCTCTGGATTCCATTTCCCACTCCTCAGGCTCAGAGGACATCGAAGTCCAGCACTCAGGCCATAAGATCCGGCAGAACAGGAAGCTCACAGCCTCATCACTCAGCCTGGACACAGCCACTTCCTCGCAGATGTCATGCAGCCCAAACTCTGATAGCTGCCTGCTCCAAGAGAATGGCTCGAAGAGTCCGGGCCGCTCTGAGGAGCCCATGTCCTACGACTCAGATCTGGGAACAGCAAATGCTGATGATTCTGACCAGTCCCTGCAAGAGTGAGTGCCCCTCTCCAGCTCGCCCATCCTCCCTTCACATCTTTTCTCTTTTCTTTCCTTCTTCCTATGCATGTGACTGTCACTGAACTCCACTGGGTCTAGAGTCAAAGCAAACGTGTTCAAGCCAGGGTTTGGAACTTCTGGGAGCTGTGACAGGAACAGGGTACAGTGGGTGGATGTGGAAGGGCTCAGGCCTGGTAAAGCTCCTGCTGTATCCCACATGACCCTGAATAAGTCAGTTCCCGAGCTTCCCTGTTCATCCTTTCCCCCCTTGTATATTCTTCCAAAGTCTGTAAGTGCATCTGTGACAAATACCAATATACACACACATTTTTAACCTTTCTTATTTCTTACCCTCCCCTTTCCATAAAAGGTTGTATGTGTACGTTGTCTAGACTTCATTTTGGAGGAAATCTTTGTATATCAGAGGATCTTTATTTTTTTTTCTGTTGTATATGTCTCTGTTACAGCATTGTGTCTTAGTTTATTTGAGCAGACATATTTAATGGGCATTGGAGTTCATTGTTTGCATTGCTTATGCATTGTTTGCATAAATAACCTTTTATATGTGGCCTTTTAATTTTATGTAAGTGTCTCAGTTCAGTAAACTCCCAGAAGCAAAATTGCTGAGCCAACACATAGATGACTAATTTTAGACACTGCCTATTTATATGATGCAAAGAATGCACCCATGTCTTCTTAGCCTTGCCAGTAAGAAGTGCTACCAAACTTTGTCTGTTTGCTTTAATGGGTGAAAAGCAATGAGCTTTGTTGCAGCCTTCTCAGTTGAACTCTTGATCCATCTGCTTGTGTCTTTTTCCCCTTATGCTGCACCTTCACCCTCCCTGGGTCCCAGTGCTTGCACAGTTCCCACCCAGAGTGGGACCAGCACTGGACGAGGTGCCATGTGGACTGTAGACCTGCTCTCCAGACCTGTTGCACCACTGGTAAGGCCACTCATGTCAGGGAGATTGCTGAAGCCCAGTCTATTGCCCTTTAAACTAGAGATGCCTTATTGGGCTGACTGAGAGGCAAATCAGATGCCTTGTGAGCACATACTTAAGAGTGTCTGCTAACTCCAGAGGTGGCTCTGAGCCTTGGGCCAGGGAAGCAGCATCTTCAGCTGTTGGTTGGAACAATGGAGATGGTAGGCATGCTGGGCCCATGGTGTGACCAGGTTTGCTGTCTTATCCGGCCCTTGGTGTGTTTTCATCTCCTTCACAGACCACCAGCTTCTCTGTCATGTGCACCTTTATCTTTATGAGCCTTGTGCCTGGAAAAGTCCAGTGTTAAGTCACTGAAGCAGTAGTCCCCCACCCTGCGTGAGAAGCATTGCCCTGAGTTTTAGGGGGAGCTGGAGAGATGAGAGTCAGGATGTGTGCAAGCTGATGAGCACTGGACAGTGTGGACAGCTCACAGACATTAAACACCATACACACAAACACAGGTCCAGCGCCGTGTCTCTTAGAGAGGAGCTTTGAAGTTAGTCTTTGAATAGAGGCAGAAATTAGCATTTCTTGAAGTATGTATTTTAAGTGCAGGGGTTCTCACCACCACCTAAACTTCATTATTATTATCAGACTAGTTAAATATTTATAATTTAAAACTGCATACTCTGTGCTTGTTAGAAATGTAAAATCAACACCTAAACCTGTAATCCCAGCACTCTATGAGGCTGAGGTAGGAAGATCACCAAGTTCAAATCCAGCCTGGGAAATTTAGTGAAACACTTTCAAAATAAAAAATTTTAGGGCTGGGGATTTAGCTCAGCGGCATAAGCACCTGCCTTGCAAGTGCTCAGTCAAGAGTTCGATCCCTGGTACTGACAAAAAATTTTAAAAATGAATAAAAAATTTTAAAGAGGTCTAGGGATGTAGGTCAGTGTGAAGGTTCTGGGTTCAGCCCCTGCAAATTAACCATAAAATACAAAACAACATTCAAAATTAACTGTATTAACCAGGCATGGTAGCATACACGGTAACCTCAGCACTCAGGAGGCTGAGGCAGGAAGAGCAAGAGTTCAAATCAGCCAGAGCTATACAGTTCAAAGCTAGCCTGGACTACATAGGAAGACCTGTCTCAAACACCACCCATAAAATAAAAGTAAATTTTAAATATATATATACACATACATTCATACCCACAGGGTTCTTTTTTTTCCCAGAAACTAAATTGTGCTTTGCTGGATGGTCAGAACCCTGACTGCCCTTGAGTATGGGTTAGGGTTGTCACCAGGGAGCTGAAGTACGGTCCAGGGGACTCAGGAGCCACGCTGCTAGGTTGTCCATTCTCCAGCTTTCTGACATAATGTCCTTCCCTGTAACATGAGGCTAAGAATTCTTCAAAGACACAGAGTTGAGTCATGATGTGAAGTGCTAAGGAGAGTCACCAAGAACACAATGAGATCATTTTGCCATTAGGTATCTGGGATGTTAGCTGTCCCACCACTTGTCACTGTGTGCAGCTGCAGGACCGCTGGAGCTTAATGTTCAGCGTGAAGCCTTCTCATGGGTGATGTCATGTGCAGCCTCCTGGGCCTGCAGAGCAGCTCCAGGCCTCACCAGCACCAGGACCAAGTGGTTGGAGCCTATAGCCCAGCGCACTGGTTCTCAGACCAGGCTTTGGTTACTGCAGACACACATGAGCACACGTGTACAGGTGCATGCCTGACATGCTGCCTTCAGACTGTTTACTAAATGGAAGCACGTTTTATTTTATTTCTAAGTCTTTTTTTTTTTTAATTGGTACCAGGGATCGAACTCATGACCACTTGCTTGGAAGGCAGGTGCTTATGCCGCTGAGCTAAATCCCCAGCCCCTTATTTCTAAATCTTATTTTAAAGAGAAAATAAAACAAAATGTCAAAACAAGATAATAGAGTAACAGTAGTTACTACAGTGCATATTGTTATCTTTAGCACATAAAATATAGGCATGAAAAATTGTCCAAAGTTAGCCTAAACCTTTCTTTTCAATAAACTATCATAACTATCTTGTATAAGTTATTTTGTTTTTGTTTTTTGTTTGTTTTTGCCTTCTTTTCTCCTTTCCCTCATCCCAGTTTCTCTTTCCTTTTGAACAATTTTGGAAGCACATTTTAAATTTTTGAATAAGGTCTTTGGAAATTCGAGCCTTAAGCCACATAAAAGGGGAAGGACTATGGCCATTTCAAAATTCTTGAAAACTTTCCTTTTTAGTTTACATTCAAAATCTGAGTTTTAGCTTGCATTGTTTCCACTTTATGAGTGTATCTTATTTTCTGTAGGCCTGAAGACTACTCCTGATTCTGGTGAAACTCTGTAAACTTGATTTCACCTTCACCTTGGTGTTGGTTTAATGGAAACTAATTTTTTTTACAAGCTTGCTACTGTCTGATGGCATTTACTTAGGCATCGTCATTTATTCTAACACTGTCATTTAGTTATTAAACTCTCTTTCATAGCCAGTTCAGTGGAATATGCCTCTAACCCAGTTACCTGGGAGGCTAAGGTAGGAGGTTCGAAAGCTCAAAGCCAGTCTAAGTAACTTAGCAAGACCCTGTCTCAAAGTTAAAAATAAGGGCTGGGCATGTAGCCTTTGGGTTCAATCCCTAGTACTGCTAAAAAGTTTCATATAGATTAAGATTCATTAACGTAAGTGTCTTGTCTTTGTAATGCTAGTGAGTATTTCCACACTTTGGCTTTTTCCTCTGTATTTTTATATTTCTGTGTGGCATCTAAGCCATCTAATCAGTGGTAAAAGTAGCCAGCATACCATCAAGGGGAAGGCTGTGTCTGAGACACAGCCCTGAGCATCTGCCTATATTACCTCATATGATCTTAGTCACAGTCCTGAGAGGTAGTGCTGCTACTATTCCTGCTTTACAAATAAGAGCAGCCCATAAACTGCAAAGCCTGGGGTGGGGTACAGAGTAGTATGTAGGGTGCAGCCAGGTAGAAGTAGGGCCCATCCTGTTCACCCACCACCCCTTGCCCCATGCCCACAAGGCGCCAGACTCAAAGGGGTCACTATGAGAAACAGCCTGCCTGACTCGTCCAGGTGGCCCCATTCTGTCCCTAAAGTTTGAATGTGCACAGTAGTTGGCAGATGTTCTCCTCTCCACCTGTGTGAGTGAGGTCTTTGTTTCCAGAACTTATTTCCCATCCCTGCAAGTTGCACTCCTAGATTTTTGTTCATCTGTTTTTAGAGCAAATACTAGCACCTACCTGCCTCCCCCATAACTATTCCTTTCTCTGATTACTCACTTATTTCTTTTATCAAGACAGGATTGATACACCATTAGATTCACCATTTGTGCCAGGAGTAGTGGCACACACCTGTAATCGTGGCACTTGGAGAGGCTGAAGCAGGAGGAGTGCTGCAAGTTTGAGGCCAGCTTTGGCTACATAGTGAGCTAAGATCTTGCTGAGTGTGGTGGCACATGCCTGTGATTCCAGCACTCAGGAGGCTGAGGAAGAAGGATGGCCATGAGTTCCAGGCCAGCCAGGGCTACACAACAAGTCTCTGTCTCAAGAAACAATAACCAAGCCAGGCATAGTGGCACACTCTTGTAATCTAAGTTTTCAGGAGGCTGCGGATCATTACAAGTTTGAGACTAGTCTGGGCTACAAAGTGAGCCCAAGGCCAGCCTGAACTGCATAGTGAGACCCTGTCTCAAAAAGACAAAAATAAAAAATAAACCATAACCAAAAAAAAAAAAAAATTCACCTCTTTTTGGTTTTTGTTTTTTATTTTGGTTTGGGGTGAGTTTGTGACAAGGTCTTGCTATATGACAAGGCAGGCCTTGAACTCATGGCAGTCCTGCCTTAGCCTCCTAAGTGCTAGGATCATAGTTGTGCACCACTGTGCCTGGCAAAAATTTCACCATTTATAAAAGTGTTAATGAAGTGGTACAGGCCTAGGGATGTAGCTCAGCAGCACAGCACCTGCCTGGCAAGTACGAGTTCGTGAGTTGGATTCCCAGTACCAAAAGAGTAAAATAAATAAAGTGGCACTTAGTATATTCACAAGATTGCAGTATCATTACCATTAATTCAAGAATATTTTCTTTTATTTTTTTAAATTCAAGAATATTTTCATCATCCCATAAGGAAACCCCTTACCATCAGCTGTGGATTTTCAGTTATTCCATATAAATGGAATCATATAAAACGTGGCCTTTTGTGGCTGGTGTCAGCACCAAATGTAATGTTTTTAAGAGTCACTCATGTTATAATGAGTCACAGCTGAATATTATTCCTTTGTGTGGCTCTGCCACACTGTGTCCACTCGTCAGTTGACAGTTAATTTTTCCTCATGTTTTTTGCTGTTATGAGTAATTTTTCTGTGAACATTTATGTCTAAGTTTTCAGGTGGACACATGTAATTCTCTTAGGAATTGTGTAAAGTAGCAACTCTGTGTTTAACCCTTAAGCGACTACCAAACTTCCCTAAAACGGCCGCTCGCACCCTCACCGTCTGTCTGTGAGAGTAGCTCTGTCACTGTAGTGGCAGCCGTCCTGGCGGGTTCAGATTGGTTTGCATCCACCACGGCCACTGACCTCGAGATCTCTTCATGTACTTTTTCCTTCGTTTTTTTCCCATGTATTTGTTGACCACTTGTACATATTCTTCAGAGAAGTCTTCAAATCCTTTGCGCATTTTAAAATTTGGGGTTTTTTTATTGTTGAATTGTAAGACTTCTTTATACATTGTGGATATAGGATTGTGATTTCCAAATACTTTCCTCCATTCTTTGGGTTATTATTTCACTTTTCTTTTCCCAATACTCAGAGTCAAACCCAGAACTTTGTACAACTGATAAATTACACCTATGGTCCCTCAGTTTGTTCATTTTGGTAAAGTCTAGTTTATCAGTTTTGTACTGGTTGCTTATGGTTTTAGATGTCATGTTTAAGAAACCACTGCCTAATCCAAAGACTTGAAATTTATAATATATTTTCTTCTAAGAGTTTGGAGTTTTAACTATTACAGTTAGGTCTTTGGTGGATGTTAAGTTAATTTTTGTATATGTGACCATTTATCCGTCCACCATTTGTTGAAAACACTGTTCTTTCCCCACTGAATGTCTGCCATCCCTGCTGAAAGTCACTTGCTCATAAAAGTATAGGTTTGTCACATATTCTTGGCTACAGATGATGCTTGGGGTTAGGTAAAAGCAGAGCTGAATAGAAGCAAGCAGGTAAACAACTTGTGTTCTGAAATCTTCCTTCCCTCAGCCTGTGTGAGGGAAGCTTAACGTGCCTTCTGGCTCCAGTGGAAGCCATTAGGTCTGCTGCACATTGTCGTTGGGTGCTGAGCAGCCTTTTTGCTTTCTGAACCTGCGTTTGTCCGTGCCTTACTCCAGTGGTTTTCTAAGCAGAAGAGGAAACAGCAAGTGAGTTTATTTTAGAAAGAGAACCTGGATTCCCGGAAACCTTGGGAGGGGGAGTGGAGGGGGTGGAGCATTGCTGGCCAGGGCACATTCCAGAAGGCCCAGAAGTATTTCTGTGCAGTGTGTGCTGTGTGTCTAAAGGCAGTGAACGTTGGTTCCCTGGGGCCCCAGGTAGTGCCTCTGAGGGAACAAGGAGTGGCTGTGCCACCAAGAACATAAGTAGTACCTAGCTGAGCACACTTGTGCACACCCTCCTGTATCCCTAGGGAAGGCAGTGACCCCATGTCTAGTCCAGCTCTGAGGGGCACAAGCTCTGGGACCTCAGGCTAGACCTACTATCTCCATACTGTCCCACAGACAGAGTCCTCACATCATCCATCCCTGTCCCAGGAGCAGTTGGTTCCTGGGTACTCCACTGCTGGAGACCCTCTTTGAGAACCCCATCTTTTTTTAGACTCTGCATCAGATGACGCTGGGAAACCACTGCCCACACAGCCCTTTGTTCACCCAGGCAGATGCCTGAGTAAGCCTGTTTTAAGATGCAGTCAGTCCCCACTCACATGTGCCACCTGGGCATTTCTCTGAGGCCTGGGCTCTAGCACTGTGCCTGAGTCCTGGCCAACCACATGGGAGGGAGGGAGGGCAGGAGGGTGATGGCGGGAGTGTTGGACAGTTTGTGCTTCTTAATCACAAGCAGCATTTTTCTATTCTTAACGCTGCCCCAGTAGCCTTGCACATTCTGGCCATTAACTTTTCATACAGGTTTCTCTGTTTGAAAACTTCTAGGGTGTTGTCAGAATTGAGCAAAGCCCAGGTCAACTCTGTGCCAACCTGTGGACCAAGCCAAGAGTCAGAGATAGCCATACTCCAGGCCCCACTATCCTTCCATGACCTGGCCATCAGCACACACCTGCTCTCAGATATGCCCGCAGAGTCTCTTCCTGACTGCACATCCTCTAGGACCCCAGGAGGTGACTACGAGCAGGAGCCGCTGCCCCAGGCACTTGGCACCCCACATGTGAAACAGCCAGTCATTGCCCAAGCCTGTCCTGCAGGAAGCACTTCAGGCCAGCAGCCTTCTGATCCTGGGAGAGAGGTGAGCGGAACTGTTGGCCAAGGGAGCAGCCTGCAGAAGGCCCTGGAGGATCGAAGATTGGGGCTGAAGCTTGTGGTTCCCTCCCCCACCAGTCCGGTGAGTGGCTAGGCTGTTGGGGTGGGGGCGGGGATCCTGGGAAAATGTTGGAGCTGTGGTGGGGCTCCAGCTCATGACCTGAGCAGTCACTGCCTTCCCCATATCATTTTCTGTGGCAATAATGTCCATCATCTATGGATGAACTTGTAAGTCTTCACTGCCTTGCCCTTGAGCCTTAGGGAGCTTCCAGATCATTACTCAAGGTGGAACAACAGCCATCAAATAAATGGAAAGGCGCACCTGCTCCCCCTTTAAACAGCATTACCAAGGTGTGATTCACATACATGCGATCACTTCATTAGAATATAGTTCAGTGGTTTTCTGTAAATTCGTAAGATTATGTAGCCATCCCCACAGTCACAGAGTGCTTTGTTTTGTTTTTTGTTTTCTGTTTTGAGACAGGATCTTCCTATCTAGTTCATGCTGGCCTTGAACTCACTATATAAGCCAGGTTGGCTCACAGTGATCCTCCTGCCTCAGCCTCTCAAGTGCTGAGATTACAGGCATGCACCACCGAGCCTGGCTTTCCCACTAGTTATTTATGTCTCCACATCCTCTCCAGTTAATATTAGCTAGGGTTTTTTTTTTTTTTTAAATGATCACAGCTATCCTAGTGGTTAAGAAATGCGGCTGACCAGAGTTTAATCTGCATGGCCCTGGTACACAAAGACATTGATGCTTTTCATTTGCTTGTTGGCCTTTTGCTGTTCTTTAAGGAAGAGTCTGTTCAGTTCATCACCCCATTCTTAAGGGTGGTGCTGTGTGGTTTCTGCATTGACTTGTACTGGCTCTTTATAAATCACAGATACACGGCTTTTATTGGAAGGAAGGAGCGGGATTCCAGCATGATTTGCCTTTAAGTTTTTTAATGAAATTTTTCATTGAATATAAGCTGTTAATTTTCATAATGTTCTGTTTATCAATCATTTTGTTTATGATTTCCCTAGGTTGTGTGTGTGTGTGTGTGTGTGTGTGTGTGTGTGTGTGTGTGGTGCTATTTAAGAAATCTCTGTTTACTCCAAGGCTTTGGCATTACTTTCTAGTGTTTCCTGGTAGAAGCTTTAGTAATTTACCATTCACAATGAGGGTTCTAATCCTTACAGGATTAACTTTTGTGTATGGAATAAGATAGGAAGCAAGGTTCATGTTGTTCCACATGGTTATCTACTTGACCTAGCACCATGCATTGAATATGATCATGGAAATCACGAAACTGTGAGTCCAAATCTGTATTTGTTTATCCTGCAGGTGGCTTTAGGAAGATGAGTGTTATGGGATCCTGAAGGTTGTGGCCAGTAGCTGGCTTTATCCAGAGGCACAGGATATCTCATTGGCCCTGCCGAGGACCTGGCCTCTGCTTTGCAGGCTCAGATATGTCTGCCAAGGGCCCAGACCTGAAGGGACAACTACAGACTTGGTGACAGAGCCCCTCCCCTGCCCACTGACTGACCTGTAGCCTCCTTGCAACTCCCTGAACAAAGCAAATGCTTCTTCCCTCTCCAACAGCATTTTCCTGACTTGCCCCTGATCCTCACTCTGGTCTCAGCTTCCACTATACTTTGTTTTTGACAGTTACCACTATGTGCCTATTTTCTGTGTTGATCCCTAGAACATTAGCCCCTGACACAGGGCTGTGCCTGTTGACTTCTGTATCATCAGGTCTGAGCCCTGTACCTGGGGGAGTGGCCACCATTCATGGTTCTTGTCTGTCTCCAAATGTGAATGTGCAAGTCTCCTTGGAGCAGTGCACTCTCAGGGATCTGGGCTGGTCAGAGTGGTCTGGGGAGCATGGAATCAAAGAACCTGGTGCTCAGTCCAGTGTGAAAGCCCCCAGTTCTCCCCCTTCTTGTCTCAGAGGCTCTGTGGGTTCCTCCATTGTGTCACTTCGTAGGTGGGCACTGGCCAACACTGTGTAGCTGACCTATGCCCAGGGCCTTGTGGGGCCCCTGCCTATGGACAATGCTGGGATTCCCTGTGTGTCGTGCCCTGTGTGTCTGTTCCTGTGGTGCTCATTGTTCTATGCTCCTGTCACTTAGTCACATGCTTTTGATCTGATATGATGTTGGGGTCACTTTCCAGCTTGATAGCCCTGAAAGCAATTCAGTCCTTCTGTTAAAAGTGTTTTTTTTTTTTAATTCCTGCAACACAAAGCATGATGGTGACCAAGCACCATGATTGGTATTAGGGAGAGAGTTGCAACAGGACAGACAAAAGCCCTGCCCCTTGGACTAGACTGGTGATGATTCACATCATGATTGCATTTGTGCTGAGAAGAATGGGCACGAGCAGCAGGTGACTCTGTAATGTGTACCTTATCAATGACCTTATCAAGAACTGCCTGCCTGTAGAATAGGGTCTTCTGCAGTTGTGGGTATGGGAAGTCCCCTTGCCTGGGTGGAAAGTCCTTTAGAAAGCAGTCTAGAGACCTGACCCACCTCTGAGACTTGATTGTTGTACACAGCAGAGTGATACTGGGGTAGCTGATGGTGGTGTTCCTCTGTCCTGGGTTCTAGTAGCAGGTGCCACTCTAGAGCAAGTTTTGGATCAGTGTTCAAGGCGCAGAGAGCTGGCCAGATAATGGTCCTGAGCAAGCAGACCTACAAGAATTACAGAAAAAGAGTGAGACTGGAAACTGCACACATTCTCAGTTCCCTCCTACTGCACTCACAGCAGGGCGCCCCAGCCCTCACTCCTGCGAGCTGCTTCCACTACCTTCTGGTTGCTGACAGAGGCAAAGGTCATCTCCAGAGAACCATTTCCCAGAGGCTGCTCTGGCCCATGGACTGTGTCTCACATTTCCTAATGGTCTCCAGTCCCCAGAGAAGAGAGAAGCCCTTTCTATTCCTAATTGTAAAATTCATACATCTCTGTCCTCCCAGTTCCTGACTCAGCCACGTCTGTTATTTCATCCTTTTTCTTGAGGAGTTCTCCTGAGTCTTGACCCCATGGCTGATTGTCTAGTCCCTGGCAGAAAGAACCACCTGCCAATTCCGAGAACCTATGGAAGAAGCTCCCCCAAGTACCTGCCTCTTGACTTAGTTTTGTGTCATCTGAATGACGAGTAAACCAACCCTTCCAAGAGCCCCAGTCCAGCTCCTCTCCTCTGCTACAGAAACACAAAGAGCAGTCTTGATTAAAGCTTGGAAATAGCACCATGAGGGTGAGGCTGGACTGATCTTACTCTTTACTCATTTTCTTCTTGCAGACAACCACTCTGGGCAGCCCAACCAGCTTCCTGCCTCTGGTCTCCCGTGTGTAGGCACAGAAAGGCAGAGAGTAGTAAGGTAGTGGAGGAAAAAAGCTGACTGACCCCAAGCCTCCCTGGTTTCCCTATCGGTGAGCAACTTGAGATACAGAACAGCACAGCAGAAGAGGGAGCAGAGGCAGCCAGTAAGGACTAAGCCCTGCCAGCCAAACCCTATAAGCAGAGTGTGGATGTCCACCTGCAGAGGGGCAAAGGTATACCCATCCTCACACCTTACCCCAAAATCTCTTAAAAGTGGGCCATCGGCCTACATGTAAGAGCTAAAATTATAAACTGCTTACCAGAATACATAGGAGTAAATCTTCATAATATTGTTTTTGGCAGTGATTTTTTTCAATGCAACACCAAGAGCAGACCAAAAAAATAAAATTTGATTTATTTCATCAAAATTAAATACTTCTGCTTCAGAAAGCAGCATTAAGAAAATGAAATGACAACTCACAGAGTAAGAGATTACTGTATTAGTAAATGGCATCGCTGATAAGGGCCCTGTACCTGCAATATGTAAAGATCCTTCACAATTTGTAGCTTCCTAAGGCAGCCAAGGCTATGTGCCATAAGCTGGGTGGCTTAAAACAGCAGAAACCGATTATTTGATGGCGGTAGATGCTGAGGTAGTGCCGTTGGTCACACCGAGCTCACCTTTGCTGAGAACCTGGCCTCTGCTTTGCAGGTACAGATACCTGACAGGACAGGGCTACTAACTTGGCAACCGAGTCACTCCCCTGCCCACTAAGTGACCTCTGGCCTCTCACAGCTCCCCAGACAAAACCAAGCACTTGCTTCCCCTCCAAGAGCAGGGTTGTTCCATCTGGAGATTCTAAGGAAGGGTCTGCCATGCCTTTCTCCTCTTTTCTAAGGTTGCTAGCTAACTTTAGCATTCCCAGCTGTGTCAGCATTACTCCAGCCCTCCCTCCCATCACATGCACTCTCCCTCTCTGTTTCTAACTTGGCATTCTGTGTATGTGTCATGGCTTGGCTCAAGAAGGTCTCCCAAAGATCTCATGTGCTCATAGGTGGGGCTTTTGGAAAGTGGTCAAATCATGGAGGCGACATAGCTGACTTGCTGTTGGGAGATGGATCTGGCTGGAAGAACTGGCTCACTTGGGGTATGGCTTGGAAGGGTAGATCTCTTTCCCCAGCTCCTCCCCCCACTCTCTGCTTCCTGGCCTCCATAATGTGAACCATTCCACCATGTTTCTGTGTTTAAGCCTGCCAAATCTGGACTGAAACTTTGAAACTATGAGCTAAAATACGCCTCTTCACCTTTTGGTTGCTAATGTCACTTATTTTGTCCCAGTAATGAGAAAAGTGACTATGGTATGTGTCTTATCTTTCCTTCTCTTCATACAAGAATGTCAGTCATATTGAGTTAAGAGCTCACCGTACTTAATTAGGCTCTCATCTTAATTAAATACATCTGCAAGAACTCTATTTCCAAATGAGGTACCCTGTATCTTTTTAGGGAGCATGATTCAGCCCTTAACGACTGAAAGATAATCCAATATTATGGATGCCAGTAGATTTTTCTTCAGTGAATGTGTACGGAGCACATGAAAAGATGTATCATCAGGGAAATGTATATCAAAGCCACAAGGGAATAGCACTTCACACCCGTTGGGATAACTAGAATCAGGAAACAGAATAGTGCATTACTAGTGGGAATGTAAAATGGTGCAGGCACCATGGGAAATAGACTGGTAGTTCCTCAAGGAAGAAACAGAGTAACCTCTGATAATGTAATTCCACTCCCAAGTATGTATGCAAGGAAAGAAAACATAAATCCTATGAAGAAAGAAGATAAAGACAGTCTGCTTTTAACTTTTAAAAAAGATCTTTGACTGTCTTTATCTTCTTTCTTCATAGGAAATCAAGAGCTGGATCTCAGAAGATGACTTCTACCGACCTCCCCAGGATCCCACTCCCAACAATGCTGGTGCCGCTTCTAAAGGATTCCTGGAGCCAAAGGCTGCTCTCCACCAGTGCTGTTCTCAAGGACCAAAAAAGAGCTGTTCCAATGGCACCCTGGACAAAATGTGCATGCATTCCCCAGGACACAGGAGCACCAGGGCAGCCCCAGTGCAGGAGCACAAGAACTTCTGGGTGGTACATCGGCGGCAAATGGGTAGGTGACTCCACAGGGTTCCTTCTGCAAGGACCATGCCTTTCGAAAAGTCCCGTTTGCATTTACCCAGCTGATGCCACATTCTCACAGAAAACTTCACCCCAGAACAGTGGTAGCAAACTTTTAGAGTTTTCAGTGATGCAACCAGCCTACTGTGGCACGCGTGCTGTAGCCTCACCACCATTGTCCTAGACCATGGTAATGTAATGTGTGCAGCACAATCATGCTTAGTGATTCAGAAAAACACTTTGAGAAAAGTTCTGTATTCTCCCAGTGTCCAAAACTGCCTGAAGAGGATAAAGATACTTCAGGTACTAAAATGAAAGTATTCTCCCTGGAGTTAGGTTACAAAATTTAAGATAACAAAGAAGTCTTGATGCCTTCAGGCTCAAAACAAACCCTACTCAGGTGTCTAGCATCTCCTTCCAGAGGTTTTTATCTCTGATTATTCCTTTAAAACTCTGGTAGGGCTTATCAGATCTATGGTGGATTTCTGTCCTGTGCATGGTACTTACAGTGAGATCAGCTTGATCTCTACACCCTGTGAAAGTCCAGAAAGCATTAAATAACTGTAACCTAATTTTTATGCATCCTCCAAATGAGCTTTCTTTTAAAACAAACATAACAGATGAGCATCAGCCCTCTCCTCATTTGCTGTGTGCAGTGATGCAGTAGAGAATGCTGGTTCATGGGCCCTGGCCTGGGAGTATGGGCAAAGCTCTGATTTCCATGTGGTTCCTTCTGAGTTTCTCTCTCAGCCATGACTATAGTAGTAACCATACAGGAAGTGTGTGATTTGTGGCTAGACCATCAGGCCCCCTGATGAGTAGAAAACTCCAGCCTCTGGGGCTACTCCAAGATGGGAGAGTATCATGTGTCCCTTTTACTCCCTGTTCATAGCCTTCTCTGGAGAGGAGGAAGTGTGGAGTGGTGCATGGCACATCGGCCAGAGAGGTACAACATCACCCACTCATTCATCAACAGAGTTACTGAGCGTTCTTGATGGACCCAGCACGGTTCTAGGTTCTCTGGACACAACAGGCAACAAAGCAGTTCCCTACCTTTGCAAGATTTACATTCTAGTAGAGGAGAGGAAATACAAAGAATGATAAGTACAGGTAGAGCATGGTCAGGTGATGATAACTGTGTGGACAGAAGCAGAGTACAACACAGAAGAGTGTAGTCCTGCTAGAGGGTGGCTACAGTGGCCCTCACAAGTCAGATGACACTGGAACAGAAGAAAGAAAGAGAGGGAGGCAAGAGGCAATCTGGGTATTTCAAGCAAGGAGAAATGCAAAGACCTTGTAGTGGAATATACGTGACAGACAGGGAGACGGGCACAATAGGACAGAGTCAGAACTGATCCTATAAGGGCATGTTGTGGCCAGGGGGGCATGGCAGGTTCTGCCTGTGTATTGAAGATAAAGCCTACAGGATTTGCTAATAGAATGGAGGCTGTGAAAGAGATACTATGAGGTGACTTCAGGGTTTTTAGCCTAAGAAAGTAGAAAAACGAAGGTTACTGATTTGTGAGATGAAAAACATTAGGAGAGAAGTAAGTTTGCAGCAGGTAGATCAGGATTTGTTTCGGTGACTCTGTGATACCTCTGAGACATAGGTGGGACAGGTGGATATGTGAGTCTGAAGTTTGTGGGTGAAGTCCAGGCTGGAGAGAACAATTGGGGAGTTGTTGGCCTAAAGCCCAAAGAGAGAAGCAGCTGGAAAGTCTAGAGAAAAGACAGGAACCTGGGACTGGGCACCAGATTCACTCCAGTCCTGAGAGGTCAGGGAGCCAAGAAGACCAAGGGTAGAAAAGAGCCCCCGAGGAAAGCCTTCTGGTTTAGACGCAGTGCCCTTCCCATGGGCAGACTCAGTGGAACAAGGGCAAAAAAACCAAACTTGGGTGAGTTAAAGAAGGAATGGGAGCAAAAAACCTTGGTACTTCCTTATGCAATGTTTGCCTGTCAAAGGGACCAAGATATGGATGGTAGATACAAGTCCAGAACTAGAAGAAATTTTAAAGATGCGAGAAATTACAGCATATTTGTATGCCTAAGAAAGGAAAACAGGGTGGCAGATGAGAAAAGGAAACTGCTGGAGAGCTGGTCTCAAGTTGGGAGCAAGTAGTATCTTCGATGCAAGCACAGTCTGTCTATCCCTGGTGAGGGAATTCAGAGTGCAGGCACAGATGCTGGAAGGGGTGTCATGGAGAGGGTCTGTTCCATCCTCCAGTGAAACTCGGACATGAGGTCAGCAGCTGAGTGGAGGCAGGGAAGAAGCCTCTACAGGTCCTCCCAGCCTACAGCCCCTCCTGGCAGTACCTGTGACTGGCTGTATCCACCCATAGCGAAACCGTGTGCACCAGAGGTGACAAAGGTGGTCAAGGGCAGGCCCATGTGCTAACCTGCCTCTTTCTGCCTCCAGGGCTGTCCAACCCATTCCGGGGTCTCCTGAAACTGGGTACAGTGTCACGGCGGGGGGCCATGGGCATCTGGAAAGAGCTCTTCTGTGAGCTGTCGCCAATGGAGCTCCGCCTCTACCTGAGCGACAAGGAGCGCACCTGCGTGGAGAGCTGCTCCCTGCTGCGCTGTGAGTCGGTGGGGCCAGCCCACAGTGATGGCCGCTTCGAGCTGGTCTTCTCCAGCAAGAAGCTGGCTCTGCGAGCCTCCTCTCAGGATGAGGCTGAAGACTGGCTGGACCGGGTGCGGGAGGCCCTGCAGAAGGTCCGGCCACAGCAAGAGGACGAATGGGTGACTATCGAATACCCAGACCAGCCCGAGGAGCCTGCCGAGGTCCCCCCTGGCAGCCATCCCTCTTACTCAGCCCTGCTCCCAGCGCCAGCCAGCCCCCAGAGCTCACAATGTGACTGGACGTCTGCCCAGGTTCCAGAACCAGATGCTATCAAAGAGTCTCTTCTTTACCTGTATGCAGACAGGACCTGGATGCCCTATATTTTTTCCCTGTCCTTGGAATCTCTGAAATGCTTCCGTGTGAGGAATAATGAGAAGATGCTGAGTGACAGCCATGGAGTGGAGACCATCCGAGACATCCTGCCAGACACAAGCCTAGGGGGCCCAGCCTTCTTCAAAATCATCACAGCCAAGGCCATCCTGAAGCTGCAGGCCGGGAATGCCAAGGAGGCTGCCCTGTGGAGGGATCTGGTCCGCAAGGTCCTGGCATCCTACTTGGAGATGGCTGAGGAGGCTGTGACCCTTGGTGGGAGCCTGGACGAAAGCTGTCAGGAAGTGCTGAAGTTCGCCACCCGGGAGAACGGGTTCCTCCTGCAGTATCTGGTGGCCATCCCCACAGAGAAGGGCCTAGACTCCCAGGGCTGCTTCTGTGCAGGTGCTGACTGATGCCCACCACTCCCATCTGCTGCAGCTTTTTGATCTAGGCTCCCGCCAGGGCTCCTCCCTTCCTGGACAGCCCAGCATCCACAGCTTCTGCCCATGGGTACCCCCACTTTCCCTCTCCTGCCACTTGCCCTCAGGGTGGGGCCTGTGGGTGGCAGTCCTACTTCTGGCACCTTCTCCCCTCCCTGCATTCTTCTTGCTGTATGCTGGCAGACTCCTATAGCAAAGGCATGGGGTTCTCTGAAAACAGAGATTTTGGCTTGCTTCTGCAAGTTATACTGTTCAGTGCCATCCACTCGAACTTCTCTGGTAATGAAGGTATTCTAGGTCTGTGCTGTCTGACTCAGCAGCAGTGAACACAGTACTTTCAAGTGTGGCTATTATGACCAAGAAATTGAATTTCATTTAAACTTTACTTAAATGTAAAAAAGATTACCTGTGACTCATGGCTACTGCCTTGGCCAGTGTAGATCCATATAGTTCAGCAACTTGGTTTTTTTCTCCTGATATGTAGTGACTAGTATTCTCTGTTAGTACATCTGCTAGGAAACTGTCATCATGGAAGCTCACAGTTCCATGGGGGAGCTGGGTTGAAACTGCTTAGGGTATCTTAACCTTCCCAGCAGCTATATAGAGGTAGGGGCTACAATTGTCTCTGTTTATAGTTGAGGAAATGAGGCTCCCAGCTGAGAAATGCTTTGACTCAGGGTTGCAGAGCTAGTAAGTAGCAGAGCAGACAGGACTGGCAAGATCCAAGCCTTTCTTTATAGTAGGATCTCCAAGGGTCTCGCAGCTACCTTCCCTGCAGTCTGGAGATGCCCACTGCCTGCAAAAGAAGGCAGAAGAGGCTGAACTGTGGCTTCAGAACAGTCCCAGTGGGGGTGGAGCCTGTGGGACTGCACAAAGCCGCCTTCAGGTATCTGGAAGGAAGTGGCCTGCGGTGCCCCGGAGGAGGGGAGAAAACAGCACAGCAAAGCTTCCTGCAGGAGCGTGGGTGAGGGGAGGGTGTGAGGACTGCAGAGCATTCTCCCTGACACCCAGTCAGCCAGCCAGAGGGGCTATGAAACCTGGGAGAAACCTGGAGTTTGCTGTAAAAGACCAAGCAGACATTGATCACTGACATCTCTGTTGTCATTCAGGTGCAGGGAGCAAGGAGACCTTTGCTTGCCTATGCTCTGCCTTTGCAGTTTGTCTCTCCTCTTGTTTTTGTTTTTGTGACCCTAGCAATGGAACCCAGACTTCACACATGCTAGGCAGGCACTGAGCTACACCCCCAGCCTTCATTTTTTTAGTTGGTTTGTGTGTGTGTGTGTGTGTGTGTGTGTGTGTGTGTGCGCGCGCGCGTGTGTGTGATGAGCCTGCAGAATAGCTAGCTTGGTTTTATAGACACTGAAATAGAACCTTGAGAAAATTAGGCAGATATCAGGATGATGCAGTTGATCCCAAGGCCAAAACGGTTTTTCCCTCTTTCCTTGGAAGCAAGGCATGGATCAGGGTTTAAACTGGGCCTTGCTCTTTGCCCTGGGCACGCCCATCCCTGCTGACCCTGCTGTGATTCATGCCCACTGTTTGAAATGGCTCCAGATTATGTCCAGGCTGCTCTGCCTTGCTGACTTCCGACTGCTGTGGCCACCCCTCCCCAGTTTGCTTCACCCAAGACCTGCTTGCTTGCTTTCGTTTCTGGGCCCCTGTGGAAGAGCAGACAGAGAGCTTCAGGGAACAGGCAGGCTGCCAGGTAACAGTGAGAATGGGACTCAAGCCAACCAAGTCCCCTGGAATGATCAGGCAGACTTCTCAGCCTCTGAGCATCAGTTCTTCATCTGTAAAATGGAATTGTAGTGTACTGCAGTTGATAGTATTGATTCTGAGGGCTAGAAATTTGAGTGAAGATTATTTTTACTTTTGTAATTTCCTTTTAAAAAAAATACAAACTAGCAAGGCCTTCCTGTCACAGTAGCTCCCATGTTACTCGGAGCTGACTCTGCCTCAGCAGCTCACTTACCCACTCACCACCCCGTCCCCAGGCTGCTCCCGGCAGATTGGCTTCTCCTTTGTACGACCCAAGCTCTGTGCCTTCTCTGGCCTCTATTACTGTGACATCTGCCACCAGGATGATACATCAGTGATTCCAGCCAGGATCATCCACAACTGGGACCTCACCAAGCGCCCGGTAAGTCTGCAGGCAGACTGTCATAACCACACAGTATACTGAATGACCCAGAAATGTTCCCCCTCTGCTGCTGCTGTTTGTCTGGAAGAGTCTGGCTAGAAGGTAGGCAGGGCCACTGGTTCAGTGATTAAGAGAAAAGCTTGGTGCCTACCAAGTCTCAGACCAGAGCTCTGAAGACCTGCTTTGGTCCCCAAGTGGGGCATCTGAGGATAGTTTTCAGCAGCTCCCTCAGTGACAGACACTGTTGAAAGCACTACTGACTATTTAGGTTGCTAGAAAGGAGATGGGTAGGTAGGTAGGAATATAGGAAGATTAGGATAAGATAGACTGGATGGATGGCTGGGTGAATGGGTAGTGGGTAAATGGATTAATGGTTGTGGATAGGTGGGGAGACCAGCAGGGTGGCTATGCCCCTTGGCTTCTCCAGCCCTGGAGTTCTAACGGACTGCTCTTCTTTGCAGGCCCTGCATTGCCTTACATTTTAGAAAGCATTGTTCTGGGCATCCATTCATTTTAAGGACAATGTATGCTCATTGCTTAACATTTTAAAATTACAAGCCCAAAGACAAATCAGAACTTTATATCACAGCATGGAGGGTGTCACTCTTATGCTCTGGAGCACAGCCAGTCTATGCATTTATTTGCATCACTGTCCACACCCTGTGCAGTTGGGGTCATGCTGGACTCATCCTCCTCGGTCCATCTTTGTTCATTTTATACCACATCTTGTGTACTTTTTTATGTCTGCCAAGTACATCTAAACGTGACCTTTCAGATGTTCCTTTTCTGTAGCTGAGCCGAACTACAGCAAGTTCAGTTTTCTAGCTTTGCTATCGTGAGCAGATTAGTTCCATGTTCTTGTCCCTATCAGGATGGCTGATACTGTCTGTCTTGGGATTGCGGTGAGGGCAGGGTGTAGTACGTGCTTGCCAGGAAGACCAGTGCCTCCAGCAGTGCCTTTCCTCCCTGGAGATCCCTCACACCTCTCACTTGTTCAGGGTGTGCCTCAAGAACACACTTGGCTCTCCCTGTGGGCTCAGACTTCCATGACAGGAGCCTTGTAACTCGGGAGAAGCTGCTTGCAGTCTTAGCCTACACATGTGTCCCAGAAGTGCAGGAAAGGTTTTCCATCAAAGGGAAACCCTGAAGTCAGCCTCACTCTGGCAGTTCTATTGCTTCTTGTCCACACCTCTGCCCTCTGTGCTAAGTATTTAAATTAGCACACAGAAAAATAGCTCTCAAAGTTGCCACTGTGAAGAGCCCTCCAACTGATGAACACTTTCCCTTCTTACAAGGCTTATTCTTTCTATTGACCCATCTCCTCACTGATTGCTGGAGTCTGTGTCTTTGCGCATTACCTAACTAGGAAATCACAGTGCTTTCCTCAGATCAGGAAGTATCCAGCTGTCCCTCTAAGGTGACTGGCCTGGGAAAGACAGGAAAAAATCAAAACAGAACATGGCTGGTCCTTGGGTTTGGGTGTCTTGTTCACAGCAGCTACTTTGGCTGACCCACTTGTGCTGAGCCCCAACTGGCCCCTGACAGGATGTCAGCCCAGGCCTGGCGTGGAGCTTTTGTCTGTCTCCTCCACACCCACAGAGTGAGATGGTCCCTGGGGCATGAAGCCCCTGCCCGCAAGTGCACACCCTGTGTGTCATTTAACCATAGCCAGAGGCAGGGTAAGATCTGGGCTGGGGCTGAGACTGCACTTGCCTGCTGGGCTGTGACCAGCCAGGGAGAGGTCTCCCTGCTGGGCTGCCACCTACCTCAGGGAAGAGGAAGTGTCCACTGTGAGGGAGGAAAGAAATGCTGTCCAGCTGTGAGAATGGAGGCCAGAGGATTCCCTGGGCCGCAAAGTAGGCACAGGTCTCCATGACTTACCCTGATGCTCTGGGCATGGCAGGGCCATAGAAGGTCTCACACAGCAGTTTATGTTTACTGAAGATGAGCTGCTTGCTTGGCCCAGGGCCAAGGACATACATGGAATCACTCTTTTCTCATGAGGAAGGAGCTTGCATCTTATTCTGATAAACCTCAGCTCCTTAGCATGCCACCAAGAAAACATAGGGGAAGGGAGTTCTTGTTTAGAAACCACACTACCACTCAGAGCTGGGCTCCACTCTCCACAGTGGGCTGAGAAACCACTTCAGCATCTCTGAGACTCAGTTTCATCATATACCAAGTGGGGACACTGCCTCCCTGTGTGAGTGTTCTGAGATGAGGAGATGATGTGGGCACAGTCCCTAGCCCAGTGGCAGGCGCACTGTAGGTACACAGTTATTGGCACCGATGTGAGAGTGGGGGCCACACACAGAACTTGTAGCCATGCCCCAGTCAGTTGGGAAAGGCCAGGATTGATTCCCCAGAGAGGCACAGGGCAGCCCTTCTGGTTCCTGGCAAGAGCCACGACGCTGGGAACCTTGTTGAGTGGCATTAGCTCTTCAGATTCCTGGGGCTGAGTGGAAGCCCTGGCTGCTGAGTCCAGCCCAATGGGGAGAGCCTGCTTCCTTCAGGCCAGAAAGGAGGGTGAGGACAGTAAGAGGAGTGAGAGGTGGGCTCTGGACAGAGGTGCCTCCCCATCTCAGCCAGGTTCTGGAGAGGAGCAACCAGAGTTGTTAGAAGGAGGATGCCTTGGGGCTCAGAAACCTTGGGTCAGATCTTGAACCATTCTGAGCTGTGCGTCCTTGGCCGAGAAGCTTGTCTCTTCGAACCCCAAACCCATTTCCTGGCATGTAAAATGAGGGAGGTGGCTGCTGGGTAGGGGGAGCAGCACACCCAGAGGTGCTTGCTGAGCAGCCTCTGTTCCCCATGGGACTCCAGGTCTGCCGACAGGCCCTGAAGTTCCTGGCGCAGATCCAGGCCCAGCCTCTCATCAACCTGCAGCTGGTGAACCCCTCCCTCTATGACCATGTGGAGCAGATGCACCTCATCAGCCAGAAGCGAGAGCAGCTGAAGCTCCTGGGGGACTACCTGGGCCTGTGCCGCAGTGGAGCCCTCAAGGAGCTGAACAAGAGGTAAGCACCTTCCACAGGCAGGGCTCTCTACTAGGCTTGTGGAGTTACCACAGGTTTGAAGACTTGTTTACACGTTTATTGATGCATTCAATAAGTAAGTATTGGGAACATAGTACCAAGCAGCAGGTGGTGGTATGTTTGGGTAGTGCTGAGGCCTATAGCTTTTACCCTTTACCCTCAGGGCTTGGGAGGACAGAGGCTATTGAGGTCTCGCCTGTGTCCCCCTTCTTGGCCAGGCTGGCTCACTTCTCCCCTTTCTGAGATGCCATGGCCTCCTGCCTGGTGAGGTCGTGGTTGTCTAGAGCCGAGAGAGAGGCCACAGACCTATGTAGACCAGAACCTTGGGTGGGTTCTGTGGAGTGGGTGCTAGGGCAGCACGTGCATGTGGCAGGCTGTGCCTGTGCAGGTGCTATTTAGAGGAGGCACAGAAAGGGGAAAGGTACAGGACCACCTTGCCCAGTTTCAGCCCCACTGATGACCCCAGCTTCCCAACTCTAGTGTGAGTCTGGAAACCCTGCATATGGCCTTCCTGATTCAGAGCAAGGGTTTCTGCACCTGGCAGACAGATGGCCCAGGCAACATGGTGTGCCTTGAGGGAGGGCACTAACCTGGCAGAGGAAGCCTGTGGTCTTTCTTCATTCTCATTCTGTCTGTGTCTCTATCTTTTTGTTTTGAGACAGGGTCTCACTGTGTAGCCCATGCTGGCTTTGAATCTGTCCTCCTAAATGCTGGGATTATAGGTATACACCCTCACACCTAGCAACCATCTGGCCTTGACTAAGTGTTGCAAGGCCTCTGAAACAGTGGGAACCAGTGCAGGCCCAGGACCTGGCTAGCATCCAAGGCTCCCAGGACTGTGCACAAAGGCAGATGACAGGGATAACTCTTCCTCCCAATCAGCCCTTCCCTTCCTACCAGCTCAGGGTCAGCCTGTGTCCGTCCCTCACCCCTGTATCTTCCTGGTGATAAATGGCAGCTTCCTGTTTCAGAAAACTGGACATTCACTGGGGAAAACTGAATGGTGGAACAAAGTGGCAGGTCAGCAGTGTCCCCATCCCTGACACTGTGGTCCTGTTAGGCTGCTGGAGGACTCACCCTCCCCACCTCAGGTGCGCTTCTGCCCTGATGTCCAGGCATCCTGGCAAGCTCCCCAGCTTCCTGTAATGCAGAGTTCCCACCCCCACTGCCCACAGACAGCAAGGCGAGGAGATTCCATGCCAGGGGTTTTCTGCAGCTGCTTCCTCTCTGTCCCTCAGGATGTGACCAGAGGCCCTGCAGAGGAGTGATGGGAACCAGAGCCTTTGTCCCCTACCACTGCCCCACCTCTGAAATGGGATCTGGGCTCCTCTCACATAGCACTGACACCAGAGACTGAGGGTCTTTCAGCTGGACCCATTGCTGCAAGAGGGCAGTGGCCACATTTCTGCATTTCTGTCCCTAGTGTGTGGGGGCAGTGACTGAGTGGGGTGATGAGGATCCAGCTCTGGCACCAGATTCCTGCCCCCAAGCTCCACTCTGATGCACTGTGTGGCTCAGGGAAGTTACTTGAACTCTGTTTCTCACCTTCTCCAGATGCCAGCCTCACAGAATTGTAGTGGGGTGAGATGAGCATGGGGGAAGCTATTAGTCCAGCTCCTGGTATTTAGGGTCAGCACACAGCAGGGGCATCCGCACTGTCATTAGTCCTGTGTTTACTGTGTGCTGGGACCTGTGTCACGTGCTTTAAATGAATGTTAATTCCCCAGACAGCTCTGTTTCTCAGAGGACTCCTGCAGTTAGTTCAGAGTCCTGGTGACTTGTCCAGGTCCCAATTCTCCTGGGAGCCAGGTGGGAGCCCACACTGGCCGCTTTGTGTTCTTGGTCCCGCCAGCCAGCAGTGCTGTGGGAAGGAAGTTCACATGTTTCTTTCAGGCTCGGATACAGGCATTATCTCTTGGAGTCTCCCCACAAGTTCAGTGTTGCTGACCTGCAGCAGGTGAGTACACAAGGCCCCCCCAAAAGTGCTCATTCCTGGAGAAACCACAAAGGGAAGTGGGAGGAAGGGCCTGCAGTTCTGCAGTTTCTCCCCTCAGAAGGGGCTCCCTGCTGTGCCCAGCTTCCTGGGCAGGTACTCAGCAGACCCAGGATCCCAAGGGTAAGAGTTTGGGGCCCTGCTTTCCTCAAGGGAGAGCAGAAAGCTTTGGGTCACATGTACAAATCCCACATTTCCCAAAGAGCATAGGGTACAGGGCTGGATGTCCCCCTGCCCATGTCAGTGTGGGGACAGACCCTCAGTGAGGAACATGGCATGAGGGCACAGCTACTAAGGCCAGGCCTGCTTTCCCTGCAGATTGCAGAGGGGTTGTACGAAGGGTTCCTCAAGGTCCTAATCGAGTTCGCCTCCCAGCACGTCTACCACTGTGACCTGTGTACCCAGCGGGGCTTCATCTGCCAGATCTGCCACCACAGTGACATCATCTTCCCCTTTGAGTTTGACACCACAGTCAGGTATGTGGGACGCCGGCAGCACCCTACACCCTCAGCCTGGTCCGTCGTCCCAGCAGTGACCTCTGCCCTGACTGGGTGGCAGGGTTGTCCAGAGCAACCCAGGCCCAGGCTTCCCCCTCTGCTGAGCCCAGAGAGAGGTGACACAGGCTTTCTGAGTAGGGCCTCTCTGAGCTCCATCTGCTAATAGGACGAGGGATTGAACGACTTCCCACTCCAGTCAAAAATGGGTGGTGGGTGATGCAGCCACGGCCTTTGCACTACAGTAATTGTTCTTGGCCTGTAGTTCCTCAGGATCAGAATCCTAAGTGTAAGATTTCACCTCAGCTTTCCTTGAACTCACATAGGAGCCAGTCATCCCTTTCAGTAGGTTCACCCAGCCAGGATGCAGCCTGCCTGAGCCTGGGGCTGGTTTTAGACCAGAGTGTTTCAATGACAGTGTTTAGGGGACCCAAGCAGCTGTTAGAAAAGTGCAGTGGGGCAAGGTGCATTGTGCACCAATAGCTTCCAGGTCATCTTGTCTAAAGCAACCTTCAACAAGGCCGAGGGCACCATCTATGGGCATGGGCTATGAGACAGAGCACAGCTCACTGTGGATTCTAGCCAGAGCCCAGGCCAGCCCTTGCCCAACCTGCACAGTGGCCTTTCTCTCCCCAGGTGTGCTGAGTGCAAGACCGTCTTCCACCAGAGCTGCCAGACTGTGGTAAAGAAGGGCTGCCCCCGCTGTGCCCGCCGGCGCAAGTACCTGGAACAGAACAGTCTTTCCTAAAACTGGCTGGCATCCTGGTTTGCCCTCAGCCCAGGGTTCTGTTCACCAGCGTCACAGCTTCTCCTTTGTTGGGAAGACAAGGGCCATGATGCCCTTGCTGCCCCTACACCCTTCTCTAGACCCCAGCAGGGGCCTGAAGGCCTGCATCAGGCCTGGCCAGCCTCACACCATGACCCTCAATTTGGGCTGTGCAAACACTGTGGAAACAAGACTTGGAGACATTTTCAACTCCACATTACCGATTAAAAGGTCTAGTTTTTTAAAGTGGGTTATTTTTCCCCTCATATTTCAACAGAAAATATTTTTTTATTCTTGATCGTAAGCAAGTCACCCCAAAAATCCAGGCCTTCTCACCCTGAGCCAAGGGTGTGGGAGCTGTTTGGCGTGACGGGGGCAAGCAGGTGACCGGGCACAGCCACTGACAGACAGACCTGCTGCTGATGGCAGAGTCAGGGTTAGTCCTGGTGACTGTCATCTTCCTTCCCCACCTCTTCTTGGCTGCATGCCCCACACTCCTCACCAAAGCCTCCCCTTTCTCGGCATCAGTCCCCAGCTCTTCTCAGGTCTGGGGCACTGGCCTTAGCAAGAAAAGGAGAAATAAATCAAAACCAGCACTGTCAGCACTTTGAGCCTTCCTTGTTCAGGAAAGGCTAGCATCACCCGCCTTTAACCTCATGCCCTCCACAAATGGCCAGGGCCACCTCATGTGGCTCTAGGGGTCACATCCCCACCTGCCCGACCTTGCCAGGGCAGAAAAACTTGGATCCCTAAGAGGGCAAGGAGCCTAGACCAAGCCAGCTGTGGGCCCTGCACTGGGGCAGGGACCTGTCCTGAGCTGCACAGGCCAAGAAGCTGCCATGTGGAAACCTGCACAACTCCGGCCCACCAAGCCATGGGCTCACAAAGCCTCCTGGACTGGCCCAGCAGGGCACTGCCAGAGCCTTGAAAGCTCCTTAGAGCATGATCACCTTTTGAAAGAGGCCTTGGAACAGGATGAGAACCTGAACTGTTCTCAAGGTGATGTTCAGACTGTAAAGGCATGGTGGGGGGAGCATGGGTGTGAGCTCTGCTGTCCCCTCCTCTCCTGCACCAGCAGGCCCCTCTGACCACCCCACCTGCCTTGTCTTCAAGTGGAGGCCTCAGGACATACATCTTTCAGAGTCAGGAGGTGAGCCTTTGTGTGGGGATACAGCCCTGTGTGGGGCATTCACCTAGCACACCCAAGGCCCTGGTCCCATCCAGCACTTACAGAAGGAAGGAAGGAAGGAAACAAACAAAAGTGACCTCCTTCCCTCCCTGTGGTGATAGGGCTGCTGAGTCACCTGCCCAGCCCAGAGCTGGAGGAATTGTGTAACAGAACTGAGGAGGCAGTAGGGAGGTGGCAACAGCTGCAACACAGCTCCTCTGGCCCCATTATGTGTTCCCACAAGGGAAGGTGAAGACACCTATGCCCAGAATACAGGCCTCCAGAACCCGGAAGTGGTCCATTTCCCCACCCCACACCCACAGCCAGCATTAATGCTTCCACAAACATCCCAGGTACCTGAATGGGAGGAGTTACCTGGGGTGGACATGGGCCTAGGAGTACATCCCAGGTCCCCTGGGAGGCAGCAGGAACAAGCCCTGGGTGCTGGGGCCTCCTCCCACCCTGCCACCATGAACATTAAACCAGGCCCCTCCTGTTACCAAAAAGCTGCTAATGCAGTGCGTTGGCTCTCACCCCACACCCCAGAGGAGAGCTGCTGTGAGCCTCAGCAATGTCCACATGTCTTCAGATGTTACTGTATGCAATAAACTTTTGAGACAGGCTCAGCCCCTGAGAAGTGCTTGGCTATGTATTAAAGCTGCTGTGTGCTTTTGAATGATTTTGCAGTAAAGAGCTGGTCTTTCTTATCTCTCTGTGATTTTAGAACACTAACGCTGCTACTGGAGGAGCTATCAACCATGGCAAGGGCTAAAGGGGCCCTTCTATTAGTCCATCTCTGGTCCAGGAGAGTTGTAGCCAAGGGTGCACACTTGCGGGCAGGGGTTTATGCACCAGAAGGGCAAGGAGAAAAGAATTCGAGCAACAGTGTCCGGCCTCCCTTTCATGGCAAGGAGCAGGTTCCCAGGGGGAGGGGCAGGGCTTTGCACTGTTGTAGCTGAAGCTGGTTGCCTGTGGCTTCATTTCCTAAGCCTTAGATGTCAGAGCACTGCAGCCTCGGGAACACAGGAGAAATCAAGGAACAGGAAGGAGTAGGAGAACGAGTTTAGTAGGGTCCTAGAACTCAGGCTGTGGATTTAAGGCCTGTACTTGGCTGCTCTGTTCCTCAGAACCCCCTTACTGTCCCTTAAAGAACAAAAGAAGGAAAACGAAATCCCAGGGAGCCAGGTTGTAGGAAAATAAGGCAGAAAACGTATGGTCAGATCTGCAGCTTTTTGTTGAAGACTAGGGCACCCCCTGTCCATCCATGAGCCCAGCTCCCCCAGCAGGTTCCCCGCCAGGGGCAATAGGCAGGAGGAGCGATGCCAGGCTGGGGAAAGTCCTTGGCAAAGTACCCTTAAGGGCATAAGTTTCCCCTCCACCTGGAGAAGGGGAGGTTTGGAAAAGCAAACCTAACCTGCAGACCTTACAATACAAACAGTAATGATACTGGCATATGCCTAGAATTCACCACTTAGGAACCTGAGGCAAAAGGATCATTTTGAGTTTGATCCAAGCCTGGACTACAAAGTGGGATCAAGTTCAGTCTTAAATAGTGAGAACCGGTCTGAGACTGTAAAGCATCATGGCACACCCCAACTTAGGTGGCTGAGGCAGGATCAGAAGTTCCAGCCCAGCCTAAACAATTTAGGATGGTCTCATAAAAGGGCTGTGTCACATGGTTCAGTAGTACAGGGTTCCTTGGATTTGGTCCCCAGTGGAGTGGAGGCAGTTTATAGGTGCATTTCCAACCAATCCCTTGGTGCTGTTCAGGCTACCTGGAATCAGGCTTAGGATGGGGGCTCCCTTCTCTCAAACATGGGCACTTAGCAGACTCAGCATGAGACCTATGGAGATGCAAGCCCTGAGAATGAGTCCACAGGAGCTGCTTAGCCCAAGCCTGGAGTGAAAACTGGGTCTAGTTAGAGGGGCAAGGCTACTTTCCCAGAGTGGCCCCAAGAGGAAGGCCCTGGACTCCACTAGAGGCCCTGACCTCCAGAAGGCTGCAGAGCAGATTGGAGGGACTTCCTTCTCTAACACTACAAGGGCAGGGGTCTCAAGGAGGAAAATCGTGCTGAAGTTGGTGGGAGGCCACCGGCATCCTCATCCCTAGAGACAGCTAGCTTGGCCCAGGACCCATCCCATGAGGTGTACAGAAGAAGGGGTGGTGTCTCGGCTCCTGGGGCGCAAACCGGCCCAGGGGACAGGAAGCCGGGATACCGGGGATTGTCTTTTGCAACCGCAGCCCAGCCCCAGGCGGGGAGGAAGTTCTGCCGGGCGCTCCGCTGGTGCCTCCCTCATACATTGTCGAACAGGAAACAGGGCAGCGCGGAGGCCAGGTGGTGCAGGAAGGAAAGCAGGACTCCAAGCAGCGCGCGACCCCTGGACGAGTGGAAGCGAGGCCGACGTCCTGAGGTGCCAGAGCCAGCGGGGCCGGGCGGGGGGAGGGAGGACGATCCCCAGATAGCAGGTCCTCTCCCAGACCCCCGCGCACCGCCCGCTTTGCACTGCGCTGGGACGCGAGGAGGACACCCCCAGTTCCCTGGGAGGCGAGGGAACCGGGCGCTCTGCACCAACTCGAGCGCTGGCGCCTCTGTGTCACCTGGGTAGCAGTAAAAAGCACCCCTTGCGGTCGGTGCGTTCTAGCGCTCCGGGGGTCCTCCTGCTTCCTCAGGATCGCTGGCGCCGGTCATCTTCTTGCCCAGCCCGAGATGTGGCGCTGCGGCAGGTGACACAGCTGTGGGAATCTCCGTCAGCCGGCTGCGCCCAGAAAGGGCCTAGGGCGGGCAGAGGTGGGACAGGAACGCAATCCGGCTGGAAAGGCTCGTGGCTGATGACTCAGGGGCAAATAGCCTCGTTCCAAACTCGAGCGACCGGAAGAGACCGGCAGCCCCAGCCAGGCATTCCCAGAGCCGCGCGCCCGTGGGTCGCAGGGCTCCCGACAGCAGTTCCGGCTGGCGAAGGGGGCTTAGGACTGCGCGCACTACCCGCCAATGCCCCCTTCCCGTCCCGATGCCCGATCCCCCACGCCCACCAAGGACCTCTGCATACAGGCTATGCCTCCTCCTCGCCCCCTCCCACAGCTGTACAGGGGTTAGGTACGGCTCTGTTGAAGGTCTCTCTTCACCTCTACCCTCACCAGCTCCCGCGGGCGCGCTCTGCGGCTCCCCTCCACGCCCCGCCCCGCGATGGCTGGGATCTAACCTGTACTCTCCCCTGCTCGGTGCGCTCCGCCAGTGGGCTCTCCGAGGCCCGTTCTGCCCAAGTGAGTGAGCGACTGGGGTCCGAGAAGGAGGTGCGGGGCGGGGCTCTTCTGTTTAGGCTACCTTCGGAGCCCAGCATGCTCCATGCCTCAGTAACATCTGTCAAATATCGCTTGAAAAAGTAAAAGAATGCCGTGACTCCTCCATCCCTCCGCTTGATTCCGGGGTCCTCGGCCTCAGCAAGAGACCAGCTCCCGGCTTCTAGCAGTGGCCACCTCATGGACATGAGCAGATGTGGTCCATGTAGAATTCAGATCCACTTCGGGGGAGGCCTGGTTCTTGCCTAGGTGAAGGCGCGGAGAGCGCAGCTGGGCGGAGCCAAACTAGCCCTAGGTAGTGGCTCCAGAGAGCTCTGGGGGCCTGGCAACACTGGATGGGTAGTTACTTTCACTGTGCAGAACCAAAGACTGGGAGGACCGGGCCAAGCCACTATGGAAGGGAAAAGAAACCGAGAAAACCGGTTCCCCGTTCTTGGCAGCCAGGCCCGTGTTAAGTCCCTGGGACTCCTGCAGGCAGGTACACTCCGGAGAGCTCCGCAGTGAGCACCCCATAGATTCACTGTAGGAAACAGGCTACTTTCCTACTGCTCCAGCAGGGAAACTGAGGTTCAGGAAATACTAGGCAAAAGGATCATGCCATATCCTTGAGTCAAGACTTCCTGATAGTTGATCAGGGCTGTTGTTACCACCCCACCCTTTCCCACCACTGGACCGAAGTGAGCCTCAAATCTTAGAATCAATGCCACGGAATGAAGGGTTGTCGTAGAACCCCTAGAACCCAGGGGTGATTTCATGCAAGTACCCTTGTCAAAGACGGGAACCCTGGATCCAGGGCGCACAGGGCGGGCTGAAGCCAGGCCTCTGTCCCCTCGCGTATGCGGAGCTCACTCTGACCTCACCTCTTCTCTTCATTTGCAGGGAAACGCAGCGGCTGCGATGGCAGCGGATGTCGAGGGCCAGGTGGACGTGCTGGTGGAACACTCCTTCGAGTACACCGGCCGAGACGGGCGCCACATCGCCATCCGACCTAATGAGCGCTACCGTCTGCTGCACCGCAGCACGCCGCACTGGTGGCGCGTGAGGCGCGAGCCCGGCGGCCGCCCCTTCTACCTGCCTGCCCAGTATGTGCGTGAGCTGCCAGCACTCGGCAGCCCAGCCCTACCAGCCCGCACCCCCCGGCTCCTGAGCGTTCCTGGCCTTCCTGCCCGCCTGTACACGCGGCCCGTGACACTCGTACGCCCTGCGCATTCCCTGGATGACCTGGCACGTGCCACTGCGCCCTCTGGGATCCCCCTCAAGGGTGCGCGCCACATCAAGGCCTGCAGCGTGGCAGGCTCCTGGGTGTGTCCGCGGCCCCTGGCACGCAGCGGCTCTGAGGATGTCAACGAGGCTGCCACGGAGGGGATCCCGGAGCAGGTAGGTCCCGGAGGGCGGAGAGGACGCCTGGCACGCCCTGGCCCCGATCTGTGACTCTCTGGACGCTGGAAGTGTCTGGGCCGGAACTGACCCCATATTTGTGAGGCCTTTGTTTTTCTCACTGCTGGGAAGGCCTTTGTTCTTCTCACTGCCACAGAAAGGCAGTGAAGCCCGGCTGAGGACCCGGCGCCCCCTGCGGCCTGGACGCCTGGCACGAAGTGCGGCGCCGTCCAGTGGCTACGGGGTCAGATGCGAGGAGGGTGCGAGAGATGGAGCAGAGTCCCTCTGGGGGCTTGCGGCCTTTCGGTTTTTCGTTGAGCGCGTGGTGGTTTGGTTCTGAAAGCGACGCGAAGTTGGTGAGTCGGAGTTTGGGTATGTGGGTCTGAGAACTCCAAAACCTGCGTGTTTTTAAGACACCCGTGCATTTCCAGAATCCTCTGCTGCTCCCAATGTCCCGACCCCAGGGATGCTCAGGGAAGAAAGGTGCTGGGAGTCATGGTCACTTCTCTCACATCCATGGGCTGGGGACCCATCGGCCACTCACTTCCAGTCCCAGAGCTCGGTTTGCTTTTGAGCCCAGAGAAGGGAACAGGTGGGGACCCTCGGGACTCCCATTGCACCCACTTGGATGCCCAACCCTAGGCCGCGAAGGCCACCTGTCGCCCCCTCCCCCCGTGCTGCCCAGCCCCATCTCATCGCCCTGGACAGTTCAGGTTTTGCAGCAACGGAAACTCGCACTTGACCCTGCTGGGTCTCCTTTCAGCTGCTGCTGAGCCACGACCCGCCCCGGGCTGGGGGTCCTCATGTGTAAACATGATACCCACGGCTCAGGCTTGCGGTGGGCCTTGAACAAGGTCTCCGGTGGTCCCTCCCTCAGTCCTCGTTAGGGGCCGCACGCCCTCTCGTGGCCAGAGCGGAAACAGCATCTCGCATGCGTGCTGGAGGCAAGTGGCCTTGTGTCAGCGTCACCCGCCAGCTGGCCAGGTGCCTTCTCTACAATAAGAGGTTGGGTGCCCGCGCTCCATCCCGGTTGCCCTGTTCCCGGGTGCTCTCCGAGTCTCTCCGGGTTCTAGCGCTTGGCTATGGTGAGAGTGAGTCCACCACCCACCTTAGAGTTGAGATGACCCTAACCCTAACCCTAACTCCACCATCTGGCCTGGTTTTGCACCAAGGATGTGTGTCAAGGAGGAGCGAGCGGCGGCGGCCCTCTACTGGTGAGCCGGGGCTCTGCAGTCTTTCACGGGCTGCCACCCAAGACTTCCAGGTCACCTCAGCCTCCAGAGTAGCTGCCCAGGATCCTATGTCCTCTTTCTTCTTGCAGTGATTGGAGGGTCACAGGGAGGATCCAAGACCTCGAGAGACTTGGTGCAGAGGCACTGCCCTGTGGCCCTAAAGGAACCCTCAAGTCTCTTCCAGTGTAAGCAGAGCAGAACCAGCTCCTGCCATTCCTTACTCAAGGCCAGCTGTACCTCTCCCTGACATCCTGCTCCCAACAAACACCTAGAGTGGGAGCTGGCTGCCCTCCAGAAGGAAGCCCCTCCCTGCCTCTCCTTGTCAGGGCAGCATTTCAGGAAGGAGTTTTGCTTGTGCAGGAGGATTCCCTTAAGCATGAGCTGATCCACCTCTTGCCTAGCCCTGGGTGAATTTGCAGATCTGCACAACCACAGCTCTGGGACTGCCTCTCTGGGACCAGTAGCCCACAGAAGAAAATAGATTGTGAGCTATGTACATTTGGGGCACAGATGGCATGGGGGGGCGGTGAGTGGTATGCACCAGCCTCACCTTGTGGATCTTTGTCAGCACTTGGAAAGTTTTTCTCAGAGAAGGACTGGGACACAGAAAAAGCCACTGTGACTAAAGTCACAAGGACTTCCGTGGCTTCCCCAGCGTGGCATGTAGATGGACAATATTATGGGTGAAGGAAAGAGATGGGAAACAGAGATGAAACAGCCATGGGAACAGGAAAGAAATGCAGGAGTATTGTGGCCCAGAAGCCGAGGAGAAGCATCAAGAGGAAAGAGGGTAACAGGAAGGTCATGGCAGATGAAGGCTGCAGGATACTTATCTGAAGTGGCCACCTAAGGCCAGATGGCCAAGGACACGTAGAAAGGACAGGCAAAGAGGAGAGATGCAGCTGTGAGCCCCAGGCTTTGCCAAGTGATGGGCAGGAATGGGGGTTGAGGGTGGGAAATAGGTGAGTGAGGAACAGGATTCCTGGAAAGGGAGGAGTGACAAGCCTCAGACAAGAGGGTTCAGGGTTCAGACAAGGGACATGGAGCTGCTGCCACACAAGCATGTTCCAGTCCAGGGGTGCAGCTTACCAGCCTGGACCCTGGGACACAGAGCATGTTGGGATGGTCCCCAAGGGCTGAAACCCCCTAACCTGAACACAGATGGGTCTAGAGAGGGTCTGTGGGCCTGAACCCAAACTCCACCCCGGCCACTAGGCTAAATCAACCTACTTGCTCCCCAGGCAAGAGCAGCACACAGAGAGAGGCACATGGCTGTGGGGATCGGGAAGGAGTAGGCATGTCCCAGTCTCACCCTCCAAAACAGCTGGGTGCCACCCCTAAGAGGCCACACCAGAAGTCCCAGAAGGGCCCGAGATATAAGAGAGGGCAGGGTTTGCCAGGAGGGCCACACCCACCCAGGAGGACCCTGCCTACCCAGGAAGTGAGGCAGGGCCGGGGCCTTGAGGTGTGGCCTCCTTCACACGCCCTGGGCCTTGGGCACTGAAGCTCCTTATGCAAACAGCCCAGGAGGCACCACACCTGAGCAGGCCTGGCCTGGAAGGAGCCCCAGGCCTTGTTCTTCCCTCTCCACTTTCCGGGAACTGTGAGTGACCCCTCTACTGGCACTGGGAGCTTGGAAAGGTTTCCTGCACTCTCCCCTCCCCTGGACTCCCCACTTGGCTTTCCCTGGATGCTTCTAGGACATAGCTCAGGACAGATCCACCCATGCCTACTTCTGGCCAGCCAAGGCATTTGGTAAGAGTGGGGAGCTAAAGCCAAGGTTGCAGTGAGCACTGTTCCTCCTCTGACATCCCTCACCAGGGGCACTTGGCCAGCACTTAGCTGGCCTCTTCATGCTTCCCCTGACCTTTCCTCCCCATGACTCACAGCAGCCCCAGGATCTGGCTTGTGACCATCCCTGGTCACTTAGGGGACTCTCCACCATCCCCCCACTAACCTGAGGTGGTCTGTGTCTCCTGAACACGGGCTGATTTCTCTCCCCTCATCTCTGGCCCTGTCAGCCCCCAGACCTTTGAGATGTGACCACTCCCTGCCCTCCAAGCCCAGCTCAATTGTCTCTGCCCTCCATGGGCTGCTGGCAGCCTCTGTGCTGAACAGTGCTGGTCAGTGCCAGGCCCTAGGGTGCAGGATGATGAAGGATGTATGGGGGTCTACATCAGAGTGTTGGGGACACTGAGGGCTGGGGATGGGCTGGTGAGCAAGGAACCAAGGCAGGATCTGGTGTTGGGTTCGGATTGGAGAGTTGCTGACTAGTGCAGGCCAGGCCCGAGGCTCCCTATCCAGCTCAGCCCTGGGCTCCCTCCCGCAGACACCCTCCTTGTGTCCTCTTAGCTGGACAGCAGAGCCAGCTCTTTGTGTTGTCTTGGGAAGCAGAGGGCTGAAGGCGCTAGCCCCATATGTGTCCACCCTGGCTCTGTGAGGTGCACTGGCCTGGCCACTGAGAGAACAGGGGTGGTCCTGGGGCGCCAGTAGAAGTGTATGACACCATTACGGCTAAGACTTCTTATTGGCTCAAAAGTAACACAAAAATGAAGCTCCCTGTGCTTTTCATATTTTTTGTTGGACGCAGGCATGTCTGACATGGCCTCAGGCTGGACACACCCAGCCCTTCCTCCAGGTCACAGGCCAAAACCTGTGTCTGAGTGTGTCAGTGGCAGTGTCTCTAGCACCCGGATTGAACCTCACTGAGAACACTTGGATAACAGCAAAGCTTTATCTCTTTCCTGCTAGCATCTGGGTTTGTGTTTTTACTTCCCTGAGTTCTGCACTGTCCTCCTGCTTGTCCCTTCTTCTCCTTTCTTTGTCTTTTAAGATGGATCTTGCTGTACAGCACAGACTGGGCTTGAGCCTGGCAAAGCACCTTGCTTTTTTGCTTTCATATAAATGTAGGCAGGAAGCTGCAGATGCTAACGGCCGCTGGGAGGCCCTGGCCTCAGCCAGTTCGCTCTCCAGGAGCAACTGGCCAACAAAGCCCAGAGTCAGGGCTGTTGCAGTTACAGCTGGTTGTCTGCTCCCAGGATTTCGTTGGCAGAAGTCTAGGCACAATTCCTAGAGAGGGCAGTGACCTCCCTGGCCCTCCAGATCAAGGTTTTCAATGGCAGACTTTCTTCTCCTCGGTGCTGGTCTATTCAAATTTCCTATTAGTTAATTTTGGCCATTTTATGTTTTCTTAGGAAGGCATTCGTTTTCTCTGAACTAAATCAGACTCGCATCTGTGAACTCCGAATAGTTTCCCTAGTGTAGGAAATGAATCAAATATATAAAAGTATGTGATAACCATGATTCCCCATTATATGGCCTTGAAGCCTTATAAAATTTTCACTCATTAATTGCAGTGGCTTTATTCTGGGCTGTTTGATATTATGGCCGGTGATGCAATGAACAGCTACTTTGAAGAAAATAAGACATAATAACAGCTAGTGCCGATTTAATACCATCTTGCCTTAAAGCCGCACCAAACTATGGTTCTTCTGTCTCCATTGATTTTATCATGTTGTAACTTGCTGGATTTTATCGTATGTGGTAGTATAAACAAAAATTGTTATAGGCAAAGAGATAATATTGAAACCATTGATCATTTTTTTCTGTTAGCTGGTTCTAAATACTCTACAATGCTTTCATCCACTTGAATGGTGTTACACAGTCTAGATATGTTTGATGCTATAGCATATGAAGTTATATTCAAATATTTCAAAGAAAAAGACCCTATGGTAACTACTATTAAGTCGGGTTATTTGGTGGTGAAGC